CTTGCTCCTGCGAGTCCGTTCCCTGGAGCAGCAGCATCGGTGACCGTGCAGGGACCCCGGGCTCCACTCAGACCCGCAGGGAGTGTCTCCACTGGGGAACCCGCCCTCCCCAGCGTGCAGAAGCCCTGCAGAGACCTGTGCAGGGGGCAGGAGAGGGGTCCAGGAAAGGCCAGAACCTGCCAGCATGGGCAGGAAAAGGCGAGGCTGGGCTCAGGGAAGGAGGAGGGATGATTTGAGAGGGACAGGAAATTAAACCCAAGGGAGCTCCCTCAACCCAGTAACATTTCTTCACATAATTAGCCCCGGAGACAGGAAGGGCTTGTCACTAGCAATGCATTCAGGAGCTTTGAGAGTCGGACCAGAACAGGCTTTCCTTCTCACAGGTTCCAGTTAAAAATGTCAGAGTGGGATCACATGGTGTTTCTTACCTGTTTTTTGTTGTTTTTTTTTATTTGGAGACCAACGCCCCCTTTCTCACAACGGCATCAAAGACCCTCTGGTAACACGGCACATTCTGTCAGACTGTCAGACAGGCTGAATTAAATATCATTTAATCGAGCAATAAAAGTCCAAAGGGAGGCTGCCTGTGGGAACCCGCCCTGAGGATCTCCTGCAGGACGTGCAAGCGGATGGCACCACAGCTGTGGAAAAGGAGGGGACAGGCAGTGACCCCAGCCAGCCACGAGCCTGCTCCACACATCTGTGCAGGGTGCAGGCCCAAACCCACAGGTACGTGGACAGTGGGCACCACCCTGGAACGGACTTTGCCCGGAAGCAGGGATTTCCACCTGCTATCCTGAAAGATGCCTCTGCCTGCACACCGTGGATGGGCATGGAGCTGGCCCGCAGCCCTCGGGGGACACAGACAGACAGACAAGAAGCCAGAACGTCTTCTCCCTGAAAGCTTTCCGCCTTGGCACACAGTAAACCAATGCAGCGAAAATACAGAGGACAAAACCCCAAGATGTGTGTGCCTTCAGAAAAGGCTAGGGCGCATTCTAAAGTTGAGGCAATTCAAGAGGAAATTAATTCAGCGGAGGACAAAGCCCCAGAGCAGCGCATCACAGGCTGCCCGCGGTGTCCTGCTGGGGCCGAGCTTGTTAGGGCCAGGCAAGGCCTTTGTGCTCCACCAGCTTTCACAGCCTCAAAGCCCAGTGGGGCACAAGGAGATGACGTCACAAACAGGTTTCCCTGCGAGCGCAGCAGGAGGAGCAGAGACCTCAGGGACAACTCCCATCAGGGCGTCACCGCCTACCAGCCAGCAGATCCCGTAGGAGCTGAGGCTGCAGGGGAAAGCAGGATGGACGCCACACGGTAGCACACCCACAGACTCCGCACACGTGTCTGGGCTCTGCACTTGGATGGGAGTACGGCCTGCGTCTGTGGATTCCACGTAAGTCGTGCGACACAGCGAGCTCAGGTATCAAGCACCTGGGAAGCCGTGGTGCCCGTGCCTGTGACCCCAAAGGGTGGAATCCTTCCAGGGCATCTCCGTGTGGTCACTGTGTCCTATAAGCAGTTTAGGAGGGTTCATCTGCTTCCAAATTGTTCCAATTTCTCCACTTAGTGTTGGAAACTTTACCATTGGAGATTAAATGCTTTATGTGAAAGCATAGCTCCCACAAAGATGTCCGTAAGGGAAAGAAAAGGAGTGACCATATCTCAGGGGGAAGACACCTTTTCGCTCGCCTTACACAGCCGAGGAAGGCGGTGACAGTGTCCTCCCACCTACAGAGAAAAGACCACAGGGCCCCCTCGTAAACCTGTAGCCACCCTGGTTTGTCTCGGAATCTGTCCTTCTGTGTTGAATACGTTGCAGGCAGACTCAGGCCTGGCCTTTCTGGAGTTCGGGGCGGCTGGAGGGAGCAGGACAGGCCTACCCTGGCCTCTTCCAGCTCCCAAATCTGCACAAACCCTGCCTAGACAAGACAGTGGTACTGTCCCTCCCTCAACCCCTCCTCCAGAATGAAGGCACCGAGGTCTTGGCTTCTCAGTGCCCAGGTGCCATCCGGCTCTGCCTCACGGGCTCCAGCTGTACAGGGAGGGCTTCCTGCCAGTCCTTGTCCTGAAACCTCTGGCCAGGGTGGTCTGACTGGCTACAGCCCGAAACTGGCACCCAGCACCTGGAATCCCTCACTGGGAAGCTAAGCCAGGCAGGGGCCCTGCGTCTGTGTCTAGCCAGCCCCACAGTCACTGAGTCCTTCCTGCACCCCACACCCTGTGCTGGACGCAGGGCTCGGCCCGGAGCAAGGCAAAGTTTCTCAATTCTTGGACTTTACGTCTCAGTAAAAATAGACAGAAAATGGGTTAATGAACACAGACACAGCCTCAAATCGGGGTGAGATTCATGCTGTGAAGGCAAAGAACGCAGACCAGGAGGGTAGGTGGGGCAGTGGCCTGCGCCAGTGCCCGCTGGGAAGCAGAGCCAGACAGGACCCAGCCATCCCACGAGGGCCCGGGAGCTGTCCAAGGAGCGGGAGGCAGATGTGGGTGTGTACGGAGACAGAGCCAACAAGTATCGCCACCTTTTGGGGAGAATTTTGCTAAAACAAGGTGAGAAACAAGAGCTGAGCCGGGCTGGGAGGGTCCCGGAGGGTCTCTGTTGAGACTCTCCTGCTGCTCCGATGACTTGGCCGACTTGGCTGGCAGGAAGACAGTGATGCCACCACAGAGACGGCGAGAGGTCGCCCGGCCACCATGGCCCGCCCCTCCCCCTGGGGTGACAGTGAGGGGTCACCTGCCCGCCGCGGCCTGCTCTTCTCTTAAACACTGATGTCTTAAGAAGTCAGGAAGCCATGTGAGATGAGTGAGCCACTGATTTTAGCCCTACGTTCGTGCATGCTGCCTCGGCTCATCCTCTGTGGCGCCGCTCGCCTGTTGCCGTGTGTCTGGCTCTGCCCTGCCCTGAGCAGGGGCCCCGGGTGGCTTCCTGGATGCCTTTGCGGGTTGGGGACGCCCCGGACCCTCTCGGTCGACTGCAGTCACCCAGGTTGAGCCACTCGGACCGATGGCAAGCGAGCTCCCCTGGTGGGTTCCAGGTTGTCATCCGAAGAGCAGCCATGGCCCTAAACACCCCTCCAACCCCACCCCACCTCCGTGCAGGCCCGGATCCACCCGGCAGGCCACTGCCCTGCAGGCCACCTCGGCTGCTCCCAGGTGTGACTGCCCCGAAGCCGGACGAGGCGTTTCCATGGCCCCTCAGAACAGAGTGTTGGGGGTTGAATCGTGGCTTCCGAAGAGAGATGTTGGAGTGCTAACTCCCAGTGCCTTAGAACGTGACCTTGGCTGGAGACGGGGTCTTTATAGAGGGGACCAAGCTAAAAGGAGGTCAGTGGGGCAGGCTCTGACCCCAGCGCCACGTGGAGAGCGCCCAGAGGAGATGCAGGCAGAGGACGGGGCGGTGCTTCCACACCCAGGGAGACCCAGGGGTTAGTGCACAGACGAGCCTCAGCAGTGTGCTCACAGGAAACACGTATTTCACCCACGCGTTTGAGACAGGGACATGGCTCTTCTTCTCCTAGCAAACAACTTTTGATTCCAACTTTTATTTCTTCTCCGGGCTCCACCCTCCTTCTCCATCTCTCTCAGCCCCAGGTGCTGCTGGAATGTCCCCTTTGCTGGGACACCGGAGGACACCCGAACAAACCAGTCTACCTGTCAGAGCCTGGAGGCGGCCCCAAGCCAGCATCTGTGGTTCCACATGAGCTGAGGGCCATTTTATGCTGGCCTCGCTCTCCCTCCAGCCCTTCTGGGCTTGGCCGGCCTTCCCCCATCCCCCCGAGCCCTCCCAGCAATCCTGTCCCAGGTGAGAGAACGAGGCTGGCATGGAACAGCCCTCAGTTGATGTGGGGGAGCAACGGATGCCCTGGGCGGGCTGGTGGATGCCAGAACACCCTGGGGACACCTGAGGATGCCCTGAGGACACCTGAGGATACCCCAAGGACACCTGGAGTATGGAAAGGTAAAGATAAGCCCACATGAAGATGCTGAGAAGCCGAAGAATGAGAGGAAAGCATTTCGGAGAAACCAGGGAACGAGAGGAAGGCATTTCAGAGAGAATCCAGGGCGGCTGTAGGTTCATTCACCCCACAGATGCCTTTGGAGTGCTGCCTGTGTGCTGCCTGTGAAAAGTAGCCCGTGACTTTGTGGCGTTCAGGAGCCAGCAAAAGTCCCGTGTTTAGAATTCCAGCCTGCGAGCTGGGACCCCGCTGTCCCCCCCGGGGTGTTTCCCAGGTGGCCCTGAGCTGAGACTCCGTGGGAAGCAGTGGCTGAGCAGGGAGAGGAGATGTGGCCAGGTGGGACTCAGGCACCAGCCGCCAGGGATGCTCTGGATTTCACCCCAATGGAGCCGGGATCCCAGCAGTTGGACTCTGGTGGCAATTTGTTTTTGAAGTTGGTGTTTCCAGACAAGACACAAAACTGTAGAGTATGACACGGCCAGGCCGGGTGGGGACTCAAGAGAGGTCAGGGTTGGGACGAGGCCACGGCCTCTGGGCCAGGGGGCATTCCGGGGGCTCCGTGGCAGCACTCAGAATTCTGCCAGGGCTGGGAGTGGCCGGGGGCAGAGAAATGCCATCTACTTCAGAGTGGGAAAGGTTGGGTTCAGTCAACAGAGCTCAGGAGGCTGAAGGGCCTGAAGGAGCCTGGAGTTTGGTCAAGAGGGAGAATTGGGATGGAAAGGGGGCACCTAGACCCCAAGAATGAGGTGGCAGGCGGGGGCTTGGCAGAGGTCAGGGAGGAGCTCCTGGTGGGGATGGACCAGAAGGTTGGGAAACCCAGTCCTGAGTTTCTCAACCTGTGCAGGCTCTGGAGTCCAGGAGGGTCAGCACCAGGGCCCTGCACCTGGCACACCTGGTATCCCTGCAGGGGGTGGCGGCCGAGGGCCCACACCACCCACACTGGGCTTGTCACCTTCATCCCACACAGAAGCACGCTGCAGAAGTGTTCTGACTGTACAGTTTCTAACAGCAGAAAATGTACACACCACTTGTGTGATTTTCTTTATAACGAAACTGAAGCAGATTTTTATTCTTTATTGCGAGCAGATTCAGGTCTCCTGCTTAGATAATCTAGAGAAAAGTCCAATATAATATTATCAAGTCAGTTTATCTACAGAAATAAAAGTTAAAAACAGGAGCATACAAAATAAACTTTACAGAAATGTTAGATTTGGTTTAATTTATATTTTAACTTTTCAAAGCAGATTAATGAATTATCAGTTAAATGTTACTGTGTGGAGGCTTGATTTATGTTAAATGCACCTACTATGTTTAATAATTTAAAAATAAACTCCAGTATTTATGATGATGACAGCTATGGATACCATTCATATTAAATACATTTTTGAAGACCTTCTTTTACTACATTACCTAATGAATAGACATTTTAAATGGTAACACAGACATTATAATTTTAAGTCAGACACAATATATGCATATTAAAATTCTGTATACTTTGATAAAGTAAAAAATAAAGCTATATAAATTGATCTTTAGATTTTTTCTGCAAAAGTAGAATCACACTTTCATGACAATTCTAACACATCCCCATCAAAGCTGCTTATAGACACAATATCAGAAAGATTTTCATTCCAGTTCACCCACCTTTAGCTTAAAAAAAAAAAAAGATTGCATTTGCCAACTGACATTTTTCCTGTTTCTAAAGTTACAAATGGGTAACTTCCTAAAGAAATGTAGGATACAAGGACCTGCATATCAAGCTGTTAGACACTGAGCTGCCAAATAAATAATATTAACATTAAATAAAAGTGGCTGCATTATTCAATACTAGTCAGTGCAAAACACATAAGCTGAGTGGTTTGAAGAACAAGGCTGGAGGTTTCCTGCTACGGCACCAGACCCCTGGCCAAGGCTCAACTCAGAGAAGTCACAACAGCCTGTCTAAACATTTGTTTAAACGCTCAGCAAGCCGAGCGGATGGTCACCCTGTTGGAGAAGCTGCCGCATCTGGCCTCCTCCCTCGAGGCGGTGTGGCCTGCTTGTTCGCCCCGTCTGCTCCGACACAGGCCGGGTTGACTGGGGCTTTAGGAGGCCGCGGCCCTTCCCAGCTGGCTCGTGGCAGAAGACCGGCCGTGCTCCCTGACGTGTGCAGGGATGAGGTGCGTCGTGGGTGTGGCCGGCCCTGCTGTGGCCACCTGGTATAGGGCTGATCCAAGGGGAGGTTTCAGCTTGTGGGGCTGGACCTCCCTGAAGGGGAAAGGACCTTGTCCAGGGCACCAAGTGCTGCTCACAGAGCAGCTGGTGTAAGTGAAGCTGCGATCTCACCCCGGGCCCGCTCTGCAAAGCCTAGACATTCTGCCAGGAGGGGGACTCTTCGTCCCAGGGAGGTCTGGGCTACGAGCCCCATCTTCCCATGCCCGGCCAGAGGCCCCTCACAGGGGCCCTCAGGAAGGAGGCAGGATGCAGTGCAGGACACCAGGACAGTGTGCACTTGCTTGTGGCACATGTGTGTATATGTGCATGTATGTATTCACGTGTGCGGGAGCCTGCACGTTTGTGGTGTGTACATGTGTGGGAGCTCACGTGTGTATGGTGCACGCACGTGTTTACGTCTGGGAACTCATGTCTGTGGTGTACACATGCATGTGCATGTATGTAGGAGCCTGTGCGTGTTTGGGGTGTGTACATGTGCATGTGTGCATATTCGTGTGTAGGAGCCTGTGCATGCTTAGGGTGTGTACATGTGCATGTGTGCTCATGTGTGCAGGAGCCTGCATGTGTTTGTAGTGAATGTACATGTGCGTGTGTGTATGCATGTGTACAGGTGTAGAACCTCATACGTCTTTCTGGTGTGCATACACACGTGTGAGAGCAAGCCTGTAGGAGCCTGTACATGTGTGCTTACATGTACATGCATGTATCACATCCGTGTGTAGGAACTTACACCATTCATGGTATGTGCACATGCATTGTGTGCAGGAGTGTGCACACATCTGTGGTATGTGTACACGTGCATGTACTACATGTATGTCACACATGCTTTGGTGTACATACACGTGCGTGTGTAGGAGCTCACACTTGTGTACATGTGTGCATACATGTGTGCGGGAGCTTGCATGTTTGTGGTATGTACATGTACATATGTATGTGTGTGTTCCCGTGTGCAAGCCTGCAAGTGGACATGGCTATGAGTGAATGTGGAGCCAAAAGCCCGGGACACACATGCAGCAGGCCCACCGTGGGTGTCTGAGACCGTCTGTGGCAGGGACTGGGTGTGAATCAGCAACTGTGTCTCTGACCAACATGCTGAATTACAAATTGATAATTTATTAACCTGTGCAGCAGCAAACAAGATTTTCAAAACTCGACAAAGTGCTCAAAGTTGACATTACTTGCTTCAAAGTTAGTTTAAGGCAAGTAAATACTAACTACTGTGAGGTGGAAAATTGTGTGAAGACCCTGTGACGTCATTCATTGAGTCTTCTCATCCTTTTAGTTTTTATCTCGTGCCCCTTGTCGATTTCAAATGATCAGGTACATTCATTTAATAATTTCCCAAGCAATTTTTTAAAAGACGTTTGGGTGTGTGTAAAAGTTTAGTGACTTTCACACTAAGACTTGTTGTCAGAGGTACATGGCGACTGTCTCCACACAGGCAGAGCTGGGACCCAGCTTACTAAACCTTCATGGGAGAATCTTCTGTTTTTAAGGCTGAAGGATGGAAATTAACAATGAAACACAGAAAGCAGAGGAAATTGCAACAAATTGTAAAGAAAAAGTATAGCAAATTATCGTACCTTAAATATGCTGTTTAACTAATCACTGCCACCAGAAATACCAAGAAAGGAAGAGGTGTGTGTAGAGAATAAAATCAAATCTGAAAATTCACATTCATCAGAGATTGAACATTCAGTCAAAACTCTCACCAGAATCTAAATGTAAAGTGGCCAAAATTACATAAACTTAAAAATGAAAGCTTTATAAACCTATTTTAAAAATTAGACAATATGTTAAATAAATGAATAAAAGATATATAAACAGCTATGAAAATACTTCAGTGCAAAGGCAATTTTAAGATTTCTAAAAAAATACATTACAAATAATTTGTTAACTGAACATACAGAGAATCTGCCCCCCATACAGGTATTACATTTATGCCCATATTGGGTTCTTAAAAAGGGCTGTAAAAATGCACACACCATTGTTTGCAGGGGTAGCGTGGGCAGGGCTGCCAAGCCAGGGCAGCTGCACGAGGACCTCGGGACACGGTGGAGTCCTCCCCGTTCTGTCTGCTCAAGCCAGTTGCTCACTACCCTCATCTTTGGTGTGGTGTTTATTTGTCACCTTAGTTTATCTCAACCACTGTGTTCACTGTTCTTACCGCCGATTTATCCTTTAGTTCAAATAAATATTGTATAGGTAAAAGATTATACAATCAAATGGTGAAATTTGAGCTTCCAAAAACACCTACTGTCGAGCACCTCGGAAACACCCTCTGGGTTTCGCCTGCCGGAGCCCGTCTGGCGGTGTGGCTCTGGGCGGGCGTGAGGGCCGGCTCCTCCTCCAGCGTCTGGTACTTTCCTGAAAGGCAGCAGTACCGAATCTCACAATGAAATGTCTTCTTTAAGGACCATTAAGGCTACGTCAAAGATTATTTCTAGAAATAGAAACGCTAGTACAGAGAGCAACAGGGACTTTGTATCACAGCAGCCCTTGGGTTGCTAACCCACCCAGAGCAGCGCTGGACAGAATCCTAAGACGAAGGAGAGCCCTGCGTGGGGACGTGGGGATGTGGGGACAAGGGGACGCAGAGCCTGGTGGGCGGAGGTGCAGTGTGGGAGGCGGGCGGAGGTGCAGTGTGGGAGGCGGGGCGGAGGTGCAGTGTAGGAGGCGGGCGGAGGTGCAGTGTGGGAGGGGAGGTGCAGTGTGGGAGGCGGGCGGAGGTGCAGTGTGGGAGGCGGGTGGAGGTGCAGTGCTGCCTTCTGGGATCCACCCCTGTCCTGTGGGCCGCCCCCATCAGCCCGAGACAGGTTCTGGGGCACCACCACCACCTTGATGGTGACCGTTCCACGGGGACAGAGGATGTCTGCCCATCATAGTCAAGTATCTGTCTCCTGGCCCTCGCACCCACGAAATCAACATTCTCCTGTAGCAGTGGACTGACGGCTCCATGCTCTGGTGAGTGGCCGATGGACATCCTGGCACTTGTGCTGCAGGGCTGGAAGCCACTGGCGTGGCCTTGTCCTCCCACATGGCACTGCTTTCTGCACGAGGCGATGATGAGGAGACCGAAACTCAGCCAGCCCTGACACACAGAGCAGGCAGGCTTAGACTTAACCACAGGGAAGCTGCTCCCAGATGAACAGGGCTGTGCATCCCCGCAGGGATGATGGTATCCGAGTGACCCGGCCTTTCCCACAGCATGAGGATTGGAGGGTTGCTGAGGAAAGGACGTGCCGCCACAGCTCCACCTCACCCTATGGAGGGCACGAGTGGCGGCCGGGCGAGCAGGAACAGCAACAGGTGTCCACACATGGCCACCCCGGGGGCCTGGATGGCTCTTCTCTCCCAGCGACAGCAAAGGCCGATGATGGTAGGTGGGTGAAGACACGGATCTGGGGGAATGGCCTCTGCATGACAGCGCACAGGGTGCGCCAGCAGGATGTCCCTTCTGAGTCGAGCCGAATGCCCGGGGGGACCGGTGTGGCTCAACAACTGCAGCGCTGGGTCCAGGCGGCCAGCGTGCCACACTCGAGGGCAAGGCCTGTGACCCCCTCCTTGCCTCCTGGGGGCCAGGAGAGGCATGTGCGGTCTCCACAGGCTTAGGACCATCCATCACACAAGCATCTGCACACGGGTCCCAGGGCAGCTGTGACTCGGGCTGGAACTGCAGTGGTGACGGGAACCATTGAGGGTGGGTGGGGGCTCCACGGACACCTTCCCCTTCCAGGCCGCGAGCATCACCTGCTGAGAGTGGGAGCTGTACCAGGCGGCCGAGGGACAGGTGCTCTGGTAGCCTGGGCTCTGCAGAGAGGCAAGAGGGGTGAATTCTGAGTCGCGGTCCCGAGGCTGTGCGCACCCATTCTGCTGAGAGAACGAGACACATGGTCAGTCTCAGGGATCCCCACGGGGCTGCTTGGGGTGACCTGGGCCACTCTGGGATGCACTCACTACCATCGCCTCCTGCAGGAACTGCTAGACTCAGCTCAGGACACGGCCTCGTCCTGAGGGCAGGCTGGGCAGGATCCACCCCACTGGAGAAGCCATACAGAGGCAAGGGGTCTCTGTCTAGGAACGAGTGCCTCTCCTTTTCAGTAACAACAGTGACCGTCCCCCTGTCCCACCATCCCAGGGAAGAACCCAGGGACCCCAGGGATACAGGCCATGGACGGGAAACCTACGAGCTTCCTCCTGATAGCTGGCTTCCTGTGCAGTGAGAGCTCGAACGCTATACTGGTACCCAGAGACCCTCGAACAAAAGGCGAACTCACTGCCCCAGAGAGGGCAGGCCCCACCCCACAGGGACTGCACTGATGGAGTACTGGACATGCTCAGTTTGCATCCTGTTGGCATGTTGCCTTGGGTGTCACCACATGGATGGGGCCCACATGGCTTCTGACAGCCCACTGGGGCCCCGGACGTGCAAGGGCCCTGCAGGTCTGACCAGCGAGGGGAGCGGCAGGAGGCTGGCAGCACGCATCTGTCTGACGGGGGGCCGTCCCCAGGTCAGCCCACTTTTAGACCAGCCCACTTTTAGACCAGCATTTCCAGTGCCGGAAATGCTGGCAGGAGCAGGCGTCTTCACGGCCTCCATGTCTGTCAGAGAGGCGACAAGCTACGTGCTCCGGCTGGCACACAGAAGACCTGCACTCACACTTGCCTGGGCCCCAGTTCCACACAAACCACGCAATATCCACGTTTGATTTCAAAGCAGGCTCCTTCCTGAGAGGCCTAGGTGAAGCCGTTTCCCCCAGGGACCAGGACCGTGAGCCTGTATCTGACGAAGCTGGGCCCGGTCAGGCTGCGTGCTGTGTGTGGGGAGTGTGTGCACGTGTGTGGGTGTGCATAGCATGTTCCATGTGTGGTCGGCTTGCCCTCAGGCATGTTACTTACCTGGGACAGCAAATGCATGTGTGTGTAAAGAGAGCTGCTCTTTTTCACCGTGAACCTTTGTTATCAAAGACAGCACAGCACAGCACAGCAAAACTTTGGAGGAAAAACAGGTCTGACAGTCACAGCACACGGGCGGCACGCAGCAGCCGCAGTTACCTAGCGTGGAGCTAACTGCGCCTTGGCCGCCGTAGGAGGTCCTTCAGGAGGGGCCCGTCGCTGCTCTGTGCGGCCTGGACTGGAGCCTTGTGCTTCACGCCCCTCTGCAAGGCGAGGAAAGACACTGAGCAACGTGGGCCACGTGGGGCTGCTGAGCCAGGGCCCACGAGCACCAGGAGCGCTCTGGCCTCCGCCAGCACCATCCGTGGGACCCCAGCAGGAAGAGGCACTGAGCCTCTGTGGGAGTCCGCGTGGGGTGTCACGGAGCGGCCAGGGCAAGGGCTCAGGGGCGTCTTGGGAAAACACTGTCCCAGCAGGGCCGCTCCCATGAGGAGCCCAAGCCCAGAACTGAGAGACAGTGACAGGCTCAGGGACGGGCCACGGCACCTGTGGGAGGCAGAGGGTACCAGGTCCCTCAGCTGGAAGGTCCACTGGGCACCTCTGGAATCCTGGAGCCACATGTTCAGTCACACACCCACTTCCATGGCAGACAGCGAGCCTCAGGAGCTGCTCTGCCAGGGCCCTGCAGAGTGTCCTGAGGCCAACGTGCTCACAGTGCTCCACTGAGATCTCGTAGCCCAGCCTTATTCAAGGAATAAGGGAAGCGCGGGAGCTGAAGAACTGCGGGCTTGGAATTGCAGAACTGCAGGTCCAAATGGGCAAACGCCCAGGTGAGGAGCAGCAGGAAACAAAGGATGAGGCTGCCACCCTTCCCTGGGACAGGGATGGAGAGGCGAACTGCATGCAGATACGCGGAGATGCCAGCACAGACATATGTGTGCGAATCGCACATATATATACGTCAGGCCTGTGATGCTTTTCTTTTCCATAGGAACAGATGAAAAGAAAACCATCCACTGGAAGTAAAATATGCCCCATGTGAGGACTAGTGACATGTTTACTCCTCCAAAGTTTTGCAGAATGCAGGTGGTCTCAGCACCACGGTGTGTTCCTGTGTGTGCCGGGCACGTGCTGGCTGCAGGCGCTTTGTGTTCAGGTGCGGACACGGCCCTGTCTGCGGGGGTCACGCCAGGGCCCGAGGCCTTGCAGGCAGCAGGAGAACGAACCTCTGTGCCACCGTCTCTACACAGCCGGGCTCAGCTTCTGCACATGTTCAGAGGCAAATCAGCTCTCAACAAACTACATCAATAGTTAGAATGCATATTTTTAGCCTAGAGTCGGCATGATTTAATTAGTTTCTTAAGGACCTCCTATGAGTTATTAAAGTGTTCCTAATAATTTCTTCCCTAATGTTTTCAAGTATAGAAATGGTGAGATGAAATTCTGCAATTTAATCTAACAAATTCTGATGACACTAAATTAGAAAAATTTTGATTCCTATTAATTGCTTGGACTTAAAAAAGGACCATTTTGTCAGTTAAAAATGGTGTTTAAAATATATAGAAGATGATGTTATTAAAGGGAAAAAAAGCCCTTTCTGCTCTGGGCATTTTTCTAGGCTGCATTTGGTAAAACAGTAAAATGCCAAACGTGCATTTTCAGAGCACCATTAATTTGGAGGCACGCGTGAACGCGGGATTTGGTGCCGGAGCACACGGCTGGAAGACAGAACGCGGCCTCAGGACGGCACGCAGGCCCCTGCAATCTCGGCTCTGACCACAGATGCCACCGCAGGAAAACGGCATGTGAACACCTCTACACTGCCCAGAAAGGCCAGGGCCGTCATTTTTAAAGCATGTTATTAACAGAAAGCTTTCAAAGAGGTCTTCATTCAAAAAACAGTAAAAAGAGAATTTGGTCGAACATCTGACACCAAACACTTCTGTCCCCTTTGTCTCTAGCTGTGTGGCTCAGCCTGGCTCCCCTTTTCTGAAATGTGCGTGGGTCCTGAGCAAACCGTGTTATCCTAGCTGTCGTCAGTCTTTCCAGCTGCAGAATGGGCACAGAAGTGGGTGCGTGAGGGAGGATCCACACTCTACAGGCTGCGGAGGGAAGGGTATGTGAGCTCAGGGCCTGGATGACCTGTGAATTGCAAACTCTCATACCTTCCTGCTTAGGATTCCTGCATAGGAACCTCTCTGACACCTGTGTGAGGGATCATGTGGCCGGCTCTGTGCTGTCAGCTGTGTCTGAACCCTCACAGGTGGGTTCTGAGGCTGCCTGGACGCTGAGGGAGAAACCCTGGTTAACTGTGACTGATGGAAAGCACAGCTCACGATCAGTCTGTGCATGTGAAGGTGTAAGTAGGTGGTGGGGCTTCCTGATGTGGGGCTGCCGTGCCCAGTGCCTGGCGGACACTGCGTCGGAGCGCGTGGACTGGGGGCTCTGGTGACAGGCATGGCTCTGCTGCCCCGTGTCTACCATCCCAAGCGTGCGGAAGGCAGAGGAGCATCACCTTGTTCCATCAGAAACTCAGGCTGCTGGAAGTCTGAGAAAGCATAAAGATGGTTGACTGCTCGACAGAAAGGCACTGGCTCTTAGTCTGAGTTCCGAGGTCAGCGGCCACGCACAGAGGGGTGTGTGAACAAGGTGTAGGGATTTAGGCAAAGTGGTCGGAAGATGGAAGGAAACAGGAAGGAAAGAGAAACAACAGACAGAGCTGAGTTAGTCAGAGGCTTGCCACCATGTGCACGTTCTTCTGGCCACTCTAGGTGGACACTGGTGCCCCCCGCCATGACCCGCCAGCCCCTCCCACTCCCTGCTTTATGCCTTCTGCAGGTCCCACTGTGTGGCTGTTCATAAGGGTTGCCGAGGCTTTTGTGGGACTCAAGAGACCCACAGCAAAACAGGGGCTTCTGAACAAAGGCGGGGACGGGGAGGGTCCTCACTGGCATTCTCAAAGTGCCCCGAGACCCTCCCATCCTAGAGATGTGCCGCAGAGCAGAGGGCCTGTGGGCACACGCATCTGGGGGCGTGGCCCTCGGCAGCCCCGACTCGAGGCTGCATGCACACTGTCACGGAAGAGCCCAGACTCCTGCGGGGACAGGCCCTCCTGACCCCCCGAGTTCAACTCCTGCCTGCTCAGGCATCTCTGACCAGGCACCTCTGCAGCTACACGCACCCAGGGGCCAGGTGGGGCCGAGACTCTCGTAAATCTCAAGCCACATCACTGTGGCCACAGCTGGGGGCCCAGGAAACACCCTCAAGCTGGACCTGTTCTCTCTCAGGGTCAGACCCACAGCCCTGCTGTCTCCTCTGTGCCTTGTGTCCTTGTGACAGGCGTGTCTGCCATGTCCCCATGTATGGGATGTGGTTATGAACACGTGTTTCATGCACAGAGCCCTGTCATGAACACGTGTGCCTGCTGTGCAACTGCACGGCTAAAGGGCTCAGGAACCAAGGACCGTGCTTAGAGAAAAGTACCACTGGACAGCTGCTTCTCGGGCCACAAGCAGGGCTGGGCAGTGGCTGCCTGGCGGCAACGAGTTTCCCCTGAAGCACTGGGGGCCGTGGAGTCTCGACCTGGGCCCTGGCTCCTGCTCCCACTGGCTCCCCTCCCTGCACACAGCAGCTGACATGCAGGTTCTGCTGTGTTTCTCCTGTCTGTGGTCCCCGAATCAGTGGAGCTGTGTGTGGACATTTTCACTACGCTGAGTGGGGGTCTCTTCACCACAAGTTTTGCTCGCTCTTTTTTACAAACTGTGGCAGGAGGCATGAAGGAGGGAGTGCCGGGAACTGGCGGCATTGGTTTCAACATTTTAAATCGGCACCAATGTCCCAAGAAAGCTCTCAAGCCAGGGTCCCATTCTGATTGTTAGAGGTGGGTGGTGGGTGGGGCTGCGCCCCTTAAGGAATGGTGACCTGTTTTCCCTCCCAGCATGGCAGCACTGCTGGGAGCCAGCCCCCAAGTGTCTGAGCTGCATGAGTGAGTCAGGGCTGGGGCCCCGGGCCCCCTCGCTTCCCGTCTTCCTCCCAACTGCACCGCTGTGTCCATCCTGGGCGGCCTCACACCCTGAAGGAGTGGCAACTGCCGGGGGTCTCCCACCCCTCGTTTCCCCACCGGGCTTCAGCACTGCCCAGTCCAGGGCCCCACCTCACGGAGTGATTAGAAATTTCAGGGATGAAACTTGAAAACCCGCATTGTTAATAGAGTCCCGAGGGACTGTGACAGGTGCAGCGGCCCTCCGAGGACAGGCAGGCTTCCTGGTAAAGCAGCAGAGTAGGGGATGTGGTCACCGCCTCTGACTTGGGGTTGAGCTTGAAGTCAGAGCCCAGCTGCTGAGAAGGATGGGGGGCCGGAGGCCAAGTCCTCACACCTGCCGAACCCTCTGCACCTGAGGGGGCACTCGGTATCGTCATGTCTTCCCCAGACCCAGAATTCTGCTTGTGGCTAAAACTTGGGAATGTGGAAAATAAGCAGCTCCACCAATACCAGCATTTTCTGATACAGATGCTACCGTTTCCAGCCAAATTTACCATCCTTAAAAATTACGTAATTTAACCTTTTAAAGTAATGATTAATTTTAAAACAGGGTTGCATTTACATGAAATAATTTGCCTTTTGTATTAGTCTTTTTTCTCTTATTTGTGTCTTATTTCAGATTACTGTTTAATCGAATGTTTAGGTTGAAACATAAAATTAAACATCAGTCATCTCAAATTTACCTCATGTTTAAAATCACGTGTCATTAAGAAACTCAGTACTGACACGTGAACTGATCACGTTTTATGAAATCCAAACCTTTCACACTATCTTTCAAAGTGGTCATTTCCTAGTCCTGAGGCCAGGGCCCTGAAGCACCCCTGCCCCGGCTGGGGACGCTCCGTACCTGGACTCTCTCTGTTGCTGTTGGCCACAGCTGCCGGCACAGGACTTTCTTGAGGACGTCGGGAAGGAGGCTGATGGTCACCAGCAGCACGATGGCCAGCCAGGCGGGCCCGCTGGACAGCATCTGGATGAACACGTAGTACATCCTCTGGTAGTTGAGGAATGGCCTGAGGGGCAGGGAAGAGAAGCCGCTGGTGAGGCATGTGCTCCCTGGGGCCGGCCTCTCTCTGCGCTGGAGAGGGCGTTTGTTCCGGGAGTTCACATTTTTGTCAGTGAGAGTCGCTTGGCAAGCCACGGAGCCTTCTCTGAGTTTATCATATAAAAAATGAACGCTGAACCTCCCGGTAATGCTGGGGTAACAGGAACGGGAGAAGGAATTCTATGAAGTCATCTCAAAGGGAACACAGAAGTCTCTGAAGTTCAGTTTCACAGAAGCAAAAAAAAAGGGATTGAAATAGGGATGTTTTTCTATCTTGAAGTCTCGGATGGGAAGGATGTGCCGAGCACCGGTCGTCAATACAGAGCAAGCAATGACTTCTCCCCCAAGAAAAAGGGTAACTCAAAGATGTCTGTGTCAGCTCCATGAGGGAGGCTGGCAAGGATGCAGGGACTGGTGACCCGCAGCCAGCCTGAGTCCACAGGTCCACGTCTATACATGCCTTCCGGTAGTTTCCTGATTGCCTTTCACATCCCAGGCACTATGGACGGTGGTAGAGACACAGAGACAGGGCCCCACCTCCAGGAAGCACAGTGACACTGGCGTGTGGACAACAGGAGGGAAACGGGAGCAGGGCGTGGTGGGTAACGGGAGGGACGTGGAGCTCCTGGCAGGCCTGGGACGGGGCTGGAGGCACCCACGAGGTGCTGGTGGTGGGCAGGAGGATGGGGTCTCATCACCAAGTGGTGGTGACATAGTGGGCACCCAGCACATCAGAGACACGGGGTCAATGTTTTAGGAAACAATGTGGAGGCCATGGTTCTACCGAGGCTGATGGCTGTGGCTCCTTGGTTCCAAAGCCCAGGAGCTGGTCAGAGAGGTTTTGGGATGGAATCTTCCTCTTACAGAGCCACGGCCTTCAGGACTGCTAGAATCGCCGGGCTCTCCAGAGCTGGGCTGGGCTCTCTAGAGCCAAGCAGGGTTCTCTGGGGCTGGCAGGGTGACTGAAATCCTCGAAGCTCGGCTCTCATCTCTGGGACTGTGTAATGCATCCTGGGGCCACCAGGGGCCGCTGGCTGAACGAGGTAATTGGGAGGGACACTTCCTGAGCTGAGAATCCCGCCCAGGTCAGGGGCCCCGAGGGATCCCGAGAAGGTCGCCGGCTTTCCCTAGGCCGGCGACTGACCCCAGGTCTGCAGATAGCTGTGGCAGAGGCTGCTGTGCTAGGGCTGAGATTGGGACCTGGTCCTGGGCCCACCACGCTGCGTAGTTTCCTGGCTTACGGCAACAGTCTCTGACCACCCTGCCTACATCGTTCTCACCAACTCAACATGCAGCCACCGTGGGGTCTTTTAAAGCGCCACCCAGCTCTGCTGTGCTCTGCCCACAGCCCTCCAGTGACTTGACTGACCATGACAGCCTCAAGCCAGGATCCTCACGGCCGGCGGTCCAGGAGGCCACCCTGCCTGCTCTGCAGCCTGGTCCGCGCCCTGTCCGCTGGCCATGGCTCCCACTCACTGAGGACCTCCTCCCATCTGGGACAGTGTGCCTGCTGCTGCTCCCCCGAACCAGAGGCTCCCCCAGGAGTCAGGCTGCTGTGGGCAAGGTCCAGCCCCACCATGCCTGGGCCCCATCTTGCTGTGGGGCGTGAGGATAGAGTGAGACAGGACCTGTCGAAAGCCTGGCGGGTGCTTCGCTGTGGGAGGCAGTTACCAGCTGGGACTTGCTGTGCTGATGGTGTTCTTCTTCCAGGTTTCAGATGACTTTCTGAGAAGTCATCTCTGGCCTTTTAATCTGACATAGGTCCGCTGGTGTAGAACCCTGGTCTGTTCCTCCGTATAACTCATCACAAGCTGTTATCAGTTAGTGTCTCTCTCCCCTGAGGGTGCAAGTCACAGGAGCAGGGACTCCCCCGTGTCTGTATCCCAGGACCCCACATGACGCCCAGCACACAGCAGGTGTTCAACAAACACTGGCCCCAACCAATGAGGCTGCACGGAAAATGTGTCTTCAACCCTTGATAAAAAAATAGTGCAGGACTATTAAGGTAATAACAATCACGCGATATTTATCAGATTATCAGCTACTTATAGATATTTACCAGATCACTCCTCCCCAGAGGAGCGAAAAGACGACGTAGAACAGCAGCGACCCCCAGATGACAAAATGGTTGATCCAAGTCCAGTAGTGTGTGTCTAACGCAAGCTAAAAAGAAAAAAAGGGCAGTTAACCGTGTCACCTGAGCAGTCAGAATGATCGTGACGGACAGGACAGAGAGCCAGGGGCTGATGAAAGACTAAACCAAACACAGACCCAGCAGTGACGACCCAATGCCCGCACAAAAATGCTCAGGAAGACAAAGGCACACCTCACACTGCCCGTGGAGGGGAAGAACGTGGGGACGCCAGAGCCCCGGGTCCCGGGGAAGGGAGCCATGGATGCATTTCCCAGATGGCGGCATGGGGGCCACAGACCAAGGTGTTGTTTATATCACCACCGAAGAAAGTCATTCAGATTAAGGTGTTCTTTATGTCACTACTGAAGAAAGTTACTTTAAAAAAATTTTTTTGAGACAGAGTCTCCCTCTGTCGCCTAGGCTGGAGTGCAGTGGTGTGATCTCTGCTCACTGCAACCTCCACCTCCCAGGTTCAAGTGATTCTCCTGCCTCAGCCTCCCAAGTAGCTGGGATTACAGGCGTGTGCCACCACGTCCAGCTACTTTTTGTGTTTTTAGTACAGAAGGGGTTTTGGCATGTTGGCCAGGCTGATCTTGAACTGCTGACCTCAGGTGATCCACCTGCCTTGGCCTCCCACAGTGCTGGGATTACAGGCGTGAGCCACTGTGCCTGGCCAGAAAGTTACTTTAGAGTCAGGTGTTGTTTATATCACTATCTAAGAAAATCACCTTAGGAATGTTTCGGGATCACTTTTTAAGACTCAGTCTGATAGGTTTTGAGATTTCATAATGATACAGTCTGTACAGAACTTCACTGGACTTTAAAAAGAGTAAAATTTTCCAAAATACATTAATTTGTTTCAATTCAAATGTATTTTGATGGCGCTGGCGGGGAGGGCTACCTGCCGCTGAAAAGAATTCTAGCCTGAATTCTTTCTGAATTCTTTCACGAAGCAGCAGCTCACTCCCGAGGTTACCTTTGGTGTCGCTCTGGGGTCTGCACGCCGGGTGGTGGGGTGTACTGAATCTGTGCATTACTTGTCTAAACAGCAAGATGAGGATGCCCAGGGGTGCCCCAGGAGCCGGCCTGGGCTGGGTGCAGAGGGGCTTCCAGCCTGGGTACGGAGTTACAATTCAGAGAGCTCGAGCGGGTGAGGCCTACCCTGCAGGGGTTCACTGTGGCTGGGGGAGGAACATGAGCGTGAGACCACTTACCTTTAGTGTGACTGTGAACACCATCACAGTGAATACCAGTGTCCCAAATGTCCAGTTTCCAAATATCTGTTTGGGGAAAACAGCCCAAGTCATCTCATTTTTATGTACTTTTTTTCTCTTTCAAATCAAGAGCTTTAGAAAATACACCTCATTTTTCTTGCGTGCCAACACTTCAAACCCCAAAGATATAAGCACTGAATTTTCTTATTATCACATAACAGAAGATGCAGCAGCCCCCCAGAGCATGGCAGGACGTCCCCGTTTCCCGGCTGCCTCTCCCACCACCAGTTCCCTGGCGCGGTGATGGGCTCAGAGCCTGTCTGTCTGCAACTTTCTGCCCGCTCTTGACACTGGTCCTGCTCAACGCTCTCGGTCACAACGAACGTCGGTCCCAATGTCTCAAACTGAGCACAGAAATTCCCACACAGCTGGCATTTAAAAATCCGTAATGCAAACTCGGGTACACGCGAACCTCCTTTTTCTGTTCTGTGTTTTACGTATCAAAGTCTATCAAAGCACATTCCAAGCTTTTAACTGTTCACCTAGGAATATCCTGCTGTTCAACAAGTAACTGTTGTCTTCGCATCTCATTTGTGGCATCAAAATGAGAAGTTACTATGGCTTACGATGTCAGTGCAGAAAATGCTCCACTGGTGAACTTCTGAAAAAGACGTCCGTAATTCTATTGCTCCTCCCATGCCACACAGGATCTACAGACATTCCTTTAGAATAATTTAGGTCTTTAAAACAAAGTAGCTCTCGCCCGTGAACCACCAATCCCAGAGGGCCTCTGGACTGTAACCCTGTTGGGAGTATCCTGGTTGGAAGGGGAAATTCTCAGGGGTGAGCACCCCAACCTCAAATTGCTATGCAAGGACCAAGAGGGCTGTCAGCCGCTAGGACTGCCCCCAAGTTCCCTGAGTGCTGGCATCACGCTGGGGGTAAGTGTGGGTTCCGTGGGGGCTCAGGGTACCTTCCAGGATGTAGCCGGGGGCTACAGGGTACAGCCAGAAGAGACTAGGAAACAGGAGCTAGTAGAAACCCTCAGATTCCAGGAAAGGCAGCGGAGCCACAGTGCCCACTGACCACCAGGTACAGCTGACCAGGCACACGTCAGGGTTCCAGGGGTCCAACAAGGTGGAGATGCTGCAGAGTCCCTGCCAGGAAGCCCCTGGCATTGCACTGCCAGCACCTCATTTAGGAGCACAGCCAGCAGCCCTCCTAGGACAGTGGCACCCGTGTCCTCGCCCCTGAAGTCCATCTCTGGGGGCTCTTGGGAGGCACCTTCACATTCATGCTGAAATTCAGAATTACAACAACCCAGAGGCCGCACCAGGCAACACCATGAAGTCTGATGCTGGACGTCTGTGTGTGACCCAGGCCCTGCCCCTTGGGAACTGACCCTGCACAGGGTGTCTGATCTGTCCGAACTTCTCTTTCCTCAGCTTTCACGTGATCTGAACGTCCCGCTGAGAAGGGTGGTTGTAGTGAACTAGGACGACATTTGTGAGAGAAAATGGAAAATCAAGTGCGGGAAAAAGGGGGCTTGCTATCGCCACAGCAGGCTGCCAGGAGCCTGGAGTCTCAGAGCTCAGGACACTACGTCTTAGTTCTGTTTAAGGGCTACACAAGATGCTTACGTAAGCCCGACCCAGAGGAAAATCTCATAAAAGATACAAAAGAATCAACATGATGACATTCATGGCCTGGTGGCATTCGGGAATTATTCAATTAAAATAAACTAAGACAAAGAATAAATTCCAAAAAACCTAAAGCTTTTAAAACAGTGAAATAACATTTGAATGTATTCTCAAGATCGATCTGGTAAAAACGGATTTAAGTGATGACGAAGGATAACAGCAGAGTTTAGTAATGAGAAGTGAAAACGACTAAAGCAGGTAGACAGTGCACAGGACACGCAGCGGGACGTCTGTGTTTGAACCCAGCAGTCTGAGGGACAAACACACATGGAGAAAGAGGTCAGGCTAAACCGGGAACGAAGCCGATTTCTGTTTAGAAGTCACCCAGAAGGGGCTGCTGAAGAGAGACTTTCTCCGAGGTCAGCGCTGGTGTTTGCTTGTGCGGCTAAATACCTGCGGCCTTTAAGCAGGGATGGTCTCTGACATCTACTCAGCGGCTGGCGCGGCTCTCTCAGATAGCACAAGGCCCCACCAGGCCTCCCACACACGCCTGTGCTGCCTTTAATTTAAAGTCGAGGGAAGCTCCCATCAATCCAGTCAATTCAGAAAACATCCCTGACTCAATGGGCCACCGTGACATGGAAACCGAGGGAACACAGCAAGGATGTGTCAGGAGGCACACACCCCTTCTAACATAGAGCTAGCTCCGGGGTGCGTGGGGCAGCAGCAGCGGCTAACAGCGTTTCCACTGACAAAGCACACAGGAAGTCACGTTTGAAAATATTTTCGAGAAATATTTCATTTGTAAAGCACTCCAAAAACACAGAGAAACGACAAACCCACGATTGTCTTACCACGTGTGTGTTGGTAGTCATTATCTGAGGGTGGGAAGGGAAGCCAGTGGCAAAAAGAAAAAAGCAAGATACAAATAAAACAAACCCCCAGGGATTAGGCAACCAACCAGAGAGTGAATGTTCACTAGAAAACTACAAATCTGTTCATTGCAAAAGAAGCAAACTTAAGTACGGTGCTCGGGGAAATCTAACACGGGCTCAACGTGGAATTCATTCTCATATTAAAAATGCAATGTCTAGGCCGGGTGTGGTGGCTCATGCCTGTAATCCCAGCACTTTGAGAGGCCAAGATGGGTGGATCACGAGGTCAGGAGATCGAGACCATCCTGGCTAGCACGGTGAAACCCCGTCTCTACTAAAAATACAAAAAAATTAGCTAGGTGTGGTGGCGGGTGCCTGTACTCCCAGCTACTTGGGAGGCTGAGGCAGGAGAATGGCGTGAACCTGGGAGGCAGAGCTTGCAGTGAACCAAGATCTGGCCACTGCACTCCAGCCTGGGCAACAGAGCGAGACTCCGTTTCAAAAAAAAAAAAAAACCAAAAACAACGCAATGTCTAAATTGTGTAATTCTACCACTAAGTAATGAGCTGATGGTGAACTGTAAGCTACAGGGATAAAGTCTGAAAACCTCAGCAGGCCAGCCGGGCAGGGTGGCTCACGCCTGTAATCCCAGCACTTTGGGAGGCCGAGGCGGGTGGATCACGAGGTCAGGAGATGGAGACCATCCTGGCTAACACGGTGAAACCTCATCTCTACCAAAAATACAAAAGAATTAGCCGGGCGAGGCGGCGGGTGCCTGTAGTCCCAGCTACTCGGGAGGCTGAGGCAGGAGAATGGCGTGAACCCAGGACGCGGAGCTTGCAGTGAGCCGAGATCGCGCCACTGCACTCCAGCCTGGGTGACAGAGCGAGACTCTGTCTCAACAACAACAACAAAACAAAAAACAAAAAACAAAAAACCTCAGTAGGACATTTCCTTCCAGTGACACTGAGCACTCAGGTAATGCGACCCGGAGCGACGTGCATGTGGTGATCGACCCGCTGGGAAGCTGCACGGGCTGTACTGAATTACTGCTTTGACAAAACCATCACACGGGCTTGGGAGGGTTTATTCGCGAGCAGCTGAGTCAGCGCGCTCAAGCTCCGTACTGACCTGCCCATTGCTCGTCACAGTTGTATTTTCAAACATGAAATAAGCACCAAAGAAGAACACCAGCGCGTCAAACAGTCCCAGGAGCGTCCAGTAGATGAACACACGCCAGCGCAGCAGCGCGTTCTTGGCGACGTCCCTGTGAGGAGAAAAGTGCACAGCGTGTGTCCTCGAGAACTGGGGCTCGGCGCCGCCCCCAGGCTCCGGGGTGGCCATCCCTGGACGTTGCCTTCATGGGATAAGATGTGTGTGGCCAGTAAACACGAGGTTTGTGCTCTGGCCACAAATGTGGCATGTCCATCACAACCAGTATTTTACTACCCATTCATGTCCTTGGCTAACTTTTGCTTAGATTCTTTCTCTCTCATATTCACTGCAATATCATCACAGGCAAAGAGATGCAAGCCATGTGCTGCTGCTTCTGAAAGTAACGAACACGGAACACAAGGCACACACCTGACATTCACCGAGCTTGTGACACCTTACACCTGACGTGACACCTTACGCCTGACGTGACACCTTACGCCTGTTCAATAAGATAGAATTTGCAGGATTCCTTCTGGATACATGTCTAGAACAGTATATCTTCTCTCGTTTTCTCAGATTTATTCCCAATTATTAAAGACGTACAACAAATTTTTTATCATTGTCCTTAATCACCTATGGTGATTATTTTTGGGTCCAAGCCATCAAGATCCCATAGAATGGCTAAATATTCTGATGAGGGCAGCGAGGCTGATGCACGGATTCCTGCAGCATCCTGGGCAGGGAAGTGTGTGGTCTTGGCTGGGGTGGTAGATGCAGGAACCACGCATGTGAGGAGATTGCACACAACTGAACACACACAGACAGGTGTCATGTACACACACGTACATGAACACAGGGAAAGCTGCGTGATCTGAATAAGGGAATGGGAGAATGGCATCAACATCAACACATTGGATGTGATGCTGGACTGCAGTTTCTTGCATGTCACCACTGAGAGACATGGGATCAGGGTTCACGGAATCTATTCTGTCTTTTTTTTTTTTTTTTTTTTTTGAGACGGAGTCTCGCTCTGTCACCCAGGCTAGAGTGCAAGTGGCCAGATCTCAGCTCACTGCAAGCTCCGCCTCCCAGGTTCACGGCATTCTCCTGCCTCAGCCTCCTGAGTAGCTGGGACTACAGGCGCCCGTCACCACGCCCGGGTAATTTTTTGTATTTTTAGTAGAGATGGGGTTTCACCGTGTTAGCCAGGATGGTCTTGATCTCCTGACCTCGTGATCCGCCCGTCTCGGCCTCCCAAAGTGCTAGGATTACAGGCGTGAGCCACTGCGCCCGGCCGGAATCTATTATTTCTTACAACTGCATATGGATGTAAAATTATCTGAAAAATAAAATTTTAATTTATGATAGGGTTTGGCTGTGTCCCCACCCAAATCTCATCTTGAATTGTAGCTCCCATGACCCCCACCTGTTGTGGGAGGGACCTGGTGGGAGGTGATTGAGTCACGGGGGCGGTATCTTCCCCATGTTGCTCTCGTGATAGTGTCTAAGTCTCACGAGATCTGATGGTTTTATAAAGGAAAGTTCCCCTGCACACGCCGTCTTGTCTGCCACCATGTAAGATGTGACTTTGCTCCCCATTCACCTTCCGCCATGACTGTGAGGCCTCTCCCCAGCCATGTGGAACCGTGAGTCCACTCAACCTCCTTCCTTCATAAATTACCCAGTCTCAGGTATGTCTTAACAGCAGGATGAAAATGGACTAATAAAATTTAAAAGACCATGGAAAACAGTAACATACTGAATCTGCCAGAGACCTTGGGGGGCATTTCTGAAATAGCAGAAAAATACCTCTTCCATATTATTAAAAAAAATAACTTTTTGGGAGAAAAGACACCCTGAAAGCAGAGCTGTTAATTTTTCGTTTTTCTCACTGAATGGAACACACATGGTTTTAAAGGATAACTTAGGCCACAGACTCCCCGGAGTCACAACGAGGAAGACGCTGGTACCCCGGCTCCCTTAGGACTGTCAGAAAGCACAGGAAAGTGCAAACTGGCTCCACACAGATGTTCCAAATGCAGCGTAAACCATCCAGCAAGGCTTAAAGAGTCTCCATTTGAACTATGTTGCTTCCAGTTTAAAGAAGCTCCTGACCAAGCAAGAGTATCAGTAGATGCTGAATGCTTCTGGCCCTTAACTGGGGTCTGCCAGTGGCTATTGGAAGAACTGCCAGAGCGCTGCTTAGTTATTCTCTGTGCTCTCAGGAGAGGCTGTGTGGAGGATGGTACCTGTACAGGGTCGGGTCTCTCTTAAGCACATCGATGCCAATATGCTGCTCCATGAGGCTGTACAGGAGGATGGGGAGGGAGGTGAAGCTGATGTTGTAGAGGGTCAGATACGCGGTGTCGTACAAAGTCTGTAAGAGGAAAGTCACAAGGAAGTGGCGCCTCAGTGCATTGTTACAAACTTTTTGGATCTTTTGATTAAATATATTTTCTTTCTGAAATGCCTAGAAAGACCAGAGCACTTTTCAAAGCTTAACGATATAAACTAGGGTCTGTGAGATCAACTGTGATTTCAGGATGAAAGCCACAGCTGGCAAAAAGCCTAACACTGACTCATCCCATTCTATCAGCAAAAACTTCAAGAAAAAAAAAAAAAAAAGGAAAAAAGTCACAGAAAACATTTGCAATTCTGATTGCCATCTTCAAGCTTCAGTGACTGTGGTCCCAGTCACTTCCAATGAAGGCAGTTGGCCCACCAACCACTGAGCACACGAGTGACAGAAGGAGGTGTCCATCTAGGGCAGGTGCCTGGGGAGTCCTGCACCCCTCCTGGATGGGAACTGTCTTCTTCCCCTCTGGGCACACTGCACACGTTAATGTGCCAGGCACCGGGGTGGCCCATGTCCACAAGGACCTCGAGTTGGAGTTAATTCTTGCAGTGGTGTTAATTCTTGCAGCTAGGCACTGCTGGGCCCTGGGGAGACCACATCATCATTAGCCCTCATCTCAGGGCCATAGCAGTTTCAGAAGACACGGAATAAGCGGCCTCCAGGACGGCAACTCCTCAGCATCGTGGCCCCCACCCCACACCTGACCTTTCACCCCCGTCTGCTGCTGGGCACCCTGGCTTCCTCGCAACGCCGGGGAGTGCTGCTCATTCCCAAGTCTCCTCTCCCCATGGCAGCCACCCACTGGGGGAAGGAAAAGAAGGCTCAGACGGCCTGTCCCTGAAGACCCTAGGACTGACCTGTTGTGAGAACCCACAGAAGAACTGGTATAAAAACTGAGGGAAGATGAAGCAGACATTCTGAAAGGCAAGGCAGAGCTGTTAGTTCAGTGATGGGGCAGAGGGAAGCAGCCACTACTTCCAACGTGGCCTGTCCCACGTGGGCGGAGGGATCCACGTGTGCCCAGAGTGTGGGAGAATAGCACTAAAGGGTTCTAGAAAGTCTTCTCTTATTTCAGGGGCAACTGAAATGCACATGTGACCATATTCTGGCCACTCTGAGGACAGACAACGTACAGGGGAAATTTGTCAGCTCCAAGAGAAACAAGAAGGCAATGCAGATATCAGTATAAACAGGAAAGAATCGAACTGCACAGTGAATAAGGAATTCTAAAATACCGTTCCTCAAACACTTCCACCTGAAAGGTTCTCATTAGTTCCACACTCAAGTCTGTGGAGGGGAGAAAAAGACTGGGGGTCTCCCGTGGCACAGCAGGGCCTCCTCATCCTCGGGGGTACATTCCCAGACCCAGGGAGGATGAAGAATCTGCGGAAGGTCCTGAACCCTGTCTACACTGTAGACGGGTATGTGTGTTCCTACACATACACACCCATGACAAAGTTTTATTTATAAAGTAGGCGCAGTAAGAGAGTAACAACAAAACATAGAATAACTATAATAATACACCATAATCAAAGGTACACAAATTTGGTCTCTCCCTCCTCCTCTTAAAATATATTATCGGGTCGTATTCACCGTTCTTCTTCTTGTGATCTGTCAACCTGGTCACCAAGAGAGCTACAGAGGGACTGAGGGGCAGGCAGTGAACACACAGCATCGGCACACCAGACGAAGGGACAAGCCACATCCCAGGAAGGACAGAGCAGGACAGCATGAGGCTTCATTATGCTGCTCGGAATGGCATGTAATTTAAAACTTAGAAACCATTTATTTCTGCAATTTTCCATTTGATATTTTTGGGCCTGGGTTGACTGTAGGTAATGGAAACTGTAAAAAGCAAAGCCACGGCTAATCGGGAGATGACTGCAACCAGATTCACCCTTCCTAACAGTTGCTGCTACCTAGAGATCAATGACCTCTTGTGCCATCGAGTGGTTCAGACAAGGGTCGTGCCAGCCTGTGCGTGATCTGCTGCTGAAATTGTGAGGGGGAGCGGCGATCTGCCTACCTTATAAAAGAAGTACTGCACGAGCTCAGATATCCTAATGTAATAAAAATGCCCGTGAACAAGCAGCATCTTCTTCAAATGCTTAAACTTTGGGATTGCATAGTCGCTGTTCCTGGCAGCCTGGCGGCCTTCCTTGCCGATGACACCTAGAAGACGGAGGTGAAGGAGCTGAGGAAATGCTTTCCACACACCACGCACAGGGCAGGGACGGGGAGAAGAATGGATGAAACCATCATCACGAGCCTTCCTGGTCACACACGAGGGTGATGACGGGGGTGTCCTGCATGCTGCCATGGGCCTCTGTCTAGCGGAGGGGTGACCTGGCCACCAGGCCGTGCCGGCAGCAAGGATGAAGCTCACCTATGCCCACATGCGCTTCCAGAATCATGCTGACATCGTTTGCGCCGTCGCCAACTGCTAACGTGATTGGGTGCTCTTTTGAAAATTTGATTAATTTAACAATCTGCAAAAGAAAGAAAGGCAGCGTTTATCTTCACTGTTCCACTTCTGAACAGGTTATTCATTCACTAGGCAGAAATAATGAAGATGTAAAGTTAGCCTAGGCAAATAAAAAAATTATCTACTTGAGCTAATTTACGACATTCTGTTTTCTCCATATAGGATAAAACTTTTTTTCATACTGAAAACAAAACAAAATAAAGTAAAAGAAGTATGATTAAAATGACGTGGGCTGGAAAAGGCTGGTAGACAAACTTTGGCGGTACAGACGTGAGATATATGAAGTAGTTTGTGGTTACTGTTATATTCATCTATTTAAATATATGGAAAAATGTGTAAATACTGGGAAAATATATTTAAATATACAGGGGCAAATGTGAACCCTGGATTCTGTTAGAGGACATCACTATTCCAAACTATTTGGTATAAAGCATCTATTTCTAAAACTAAACTATTCCTAATGCTATTTTAATTTTCAAATTTGTAATGTGCAAAATCAAATATGACAATTTTATGTAAAAATAATTTCCAAGTTTTTAGTCAATTTCTTTTCTCCCCCCACATATGTGCCTAAATGTAACAGTTCAAGATATAAGACTGAAGAGATGGGGGAAACGTGTGGGTGCCTTCAATTGAAACACGTTAATTTGTATGAAACGTTTCAAAAGCCAGTTGAGAACTTAAAAAAGTACTATGGAATACATGAAGAGCAAATGGCAAACCCTGAGTTGCTGTTCTGTTTGGGAAGTAATCCTGTAAGGTTCATGTGCAGTTACACATGTGAGGGAGAGGAGAACATCACACCGTCTTCCCCACATGGAAGGTCTGTCAATGCTTGAGGCTCAGCTTGTCGTCCTGAGGACCCCGGCTCCGTGTTTTTGGAAATTGAAAGATTAATGCACCCACGGGCACAAACTCTCAACTCTTCACCTCCTTGGTTTCCAGAGTTTGTGTGAGACGTTTTTTACCTTAAACACTGGGTTGCTCTGACCAGTTATGGATTTACTCATGAACAGTTCAAGAGAAATTGACGTATCGTGTCTAAAATGTGGTATAACGAAGGTGGAACTTTTCTAGGCTTCCTGATATCAGAAAGACATCCATGTTTACATGTATATTCCATAGTGCTTTTAAAAGTGTTTAAAGAAAAAACTTCGGTGTGTGTTTCCCACAAGAACATGGGCGCGTGAGACGTTTGGAGTTTGATGGACAAGACAAGCTGAATCCTCGCGGCATTTCCCAACTGCAGCCTTTTGGGCAAATTATTCCAATTTGTAAAGCTGGTGCCCTCATTCGCCTGAAAGGGTTAGTTTGAGGCTAAAAGCACACACTTTGTCTGTAGGAGGCACACACTAGGTGCTCAATAATGTCAGCTCCCTTCCCCTAAACCTTTAGTGTAGATTCTCAGGAGTGACTGAGGCAGCTTTTTTTTTTTTAACAGAAGTCAGCCAGGGCAGCTGTCCTGGCCGCTACATCTGGAAGGGTCACACGTCAGACTGGTCAACACCCACTAATCACTGAGCCTGGCCCAACAAGCAAAACGAGATCTGTGTTTTAAATCTCTACCATGGTTACTTCTCTTTTTAACAGGCGGTACCCTGCTAGGCTTTTTAACAATCCACGGTGGTGAGACCTAATGGAAGGTTTCCAGTGTTTCGGACACCCCGACCACCAGCTATCGAGGACGGGCGGGCAGCACCTGGGCCTTCTGCAAGGGTGCCATGCGGCAGCAGAGCACCGCGCTGCAGCTCCGGCAGATTTCCAGGAAGAGCTCCCTGTAGTTGCTGGAACTCCCGTCTTCGCGAGGCTTCATTATGAGAGACAGCGCAGCTCCGTCGATAATCAAGCCATAGTCCTGTATATCTGCTGAGAGTCTGTTAGAGGACGTGAGTCAGAAAGACGCTCAATCACTAGATCTAGAGATTTTAGAAGACTCCGTATTTCTTTGGATGTCGACAGATGCTACAAATCCATGGGATTAAGAAACCAGTGTTTCTAATCAATACAATCTTTATAGTATTGAATGAAACACCTTTGTCAACATTTAAGAGTGTATTTTAGTGAAACATTCCTATTTTAGGTAAAGCAAGTGCACACTGTCTTTGTGGACTCGTTAAATCCCTGTACTTTTGAAACAACAGGAAGGCGTTCATCTTGCAGTCTAAGATCTTGGTCAGTCTTTATTCTCAACCTGCTTGGTCACAGTCTTTATCTGTATAGCTAAGTCCTTGGGTTTCTGCCTGGATGACCTAAGTTGGAAAGAACGTGGTCATAATCTCCTCTTTGCTGGGTTTCAAAATGACAAGGAGGCTGGATGCCATGGCTCACGCCTGTAATCCCAGCACTTTGGGAGGCTGAGGCAGGCGGATCACCTGAGGTCAGGAGTTCAAGACCAGCCTGGCCAACATGGTGAAACCCCATCTCTATTAAAAATACAAAAATTAGCCGGGTGTGGTGGTAAGCGCTTTTAATCCCATCTACTTGGGAGGCTGAGGCAGGAGAATTGTTTGGACCTGGGAGGCAGAGGTTGCAGTGAGCCAAGATCACGCCACTGCACTCCAGCCTGGGCGACAGAGTGAGGCTCCATCTCAAAAACAAAACACAAAAAACAAACAAGGAACACCTCTAATCCCTAAAAGGAGTTCCGCAGATTGCAGATCAGGTAGAGGGAATTATCTGTGCTATTTATGAATAACTTAACATTTGTGTAAATTAGAGAGCTGCTTTTGCTTTATGTACATGAATGAAACTGAAATGATTCAAATAAAATCTAACCTCAGATAATGCATCTAACACCAGTAAGGACAGCATCGATAAAATCGATAAAATGTATCTGAATAAACTACTGAATATTCTTGGGAAAAAAACAACTCTTGGGCATGTACTGCTTTGTCTTAGACGAACAACCACGCATTATTAATATCTCCACTTCCGCCAGCAGATGTTTGAAGGTGCCTGCAGCAGAGCCCCTAAGTCTCAGAAGCAGATGAGAATTATCCCACTCAAAATATTTTATCAATTATGTCATTTTGCATCTGTTACCCGGCAGTCTGAAGATGAACATACACACACGTATGTGAAAAAGACACGTCACAACTGCTAGAAAAAACATCCCGTCTTGTTCTCAGTGTTCACCGGACCCGTAAGAAGCTGGCATTAATGTCCCAGGGGAGAACCAAATTCCCAGTAAGGACAATGCGGTTCCCCCACTTGCAGGTGAAGGCCATTGGGTCTGAAGCCCCTTCTGAGGGAGTGGGGGTGGGGGCGGGGACGCGCTGCCTACCCTGAGAGGTTGTCTCTGGTCAGGCTCCCGCTGTGGCGCAGGACCGTCTTGCTCAGCTCGAACAGGACGTCGTGCAGGCTCTGCTCCTCGATCCTCTTGGTGGTCAGCTCCAGCAGCTGCGTGTTCCTGCGGAAGAGCTTGCAGGCATAGCACGTGGCTGCGGCCGTCTCCATCTTGTCTCCTGTGAGAACCCAGACCTTGATCCCGGCCTTTTGCAGCGCCTCGATGGTGTCAGCAGCTTTCTCCTGCAGCCTGAGGGAGGCAAAACCAAACACAACACAGAGAAAAGTCAGTGCTGACCCAGGAAATCCAAATAAGGAACTGCAGAAACTTGCAAAGCTGACAAAATATTGTAGCCCCTCAAAATCAAAACGTGCCATGCTGTGGTTCATGGTCTTACCACAAAGCACCTGAAGCGGCTTCTGAAGGTCTGAATTAGTGTTTCACAGTGAAACACTCATAACAGCAGAGAGATAAACATGGATCAAACATTTGCGATGGAAAGCGCTGTCTGGTGTCACTGACGTCTGACAAGCCTGGCAGTTTTCTGTGTAGCTGGGACTCACTACCTGGGGAGGGTTTTAGGAAATTATAGCCACCACCAAAAGTGTCTGAACCACGGAGAGATGGGATCTGGACTCAAGGTGGTCAGGAACATTCATTATCTTTTGTTTTGTATAAACTGTTCTAAGTTTGTCACTTAGAACCCACTTGGGGTCCAGGTACCTCTAAATAAAATAAAATACTGAGAATGATACTAGTGAGTCTATGGCCAACAGGTATCATGGGCTTGCCACGTGCCAGGCCCATGTGACACTTCCTATGTGCAATCTCTCATGCTCACCACGATGTCATGAGTAAGGACATTAGCATCACACCCATTTTACATACGGAAAACCCAAAGCCTGCAGATGCTACAGAAGGTATCTGGGGATAAGCAGCTCTTCTGACACCGGTCAGGCCACTTCCCTCTCCTTGGAAGATCTGGGGTCAAAACCACGTTTGCCTCACTTCGGGGCCTGCATTTTTTCTAGGTTTTAGACTTTACTTTCGTGTGAAGGAACATGTTATGCTTCCGGAAAGCATGAAAGGAAAGGATTTAAATTCTAACTGGAATGATCTGGTTTTCTGGGAAGAAGTTCCTAGCTAAAAGTCTCAAGATCAGACAATCATAGTACTCTATAGATGGAAAAAACGCCTCTAATTTTATGTGTGTGTGTACGTATGTGTATATATATGTGTGTGCATATATATATATATATATATATAGAGAGAGAGAGAGAGAGAGAGAGAGAGAGAGCGCGCACGACAGCAAGAGAACGTCTTGTTATGTTGCCCAGGCTAGGGTACAGTGGTATGATCTCAGCTCACTGCAGCCTCCAACTCCTGGGCTCAAGTGATCCTCCCTCCTCAGCCTCCCAAGTAGCTAGGACAACAGGTGACTGCTACCACGTCTGATTAATTTAAAAAAAAAATTCAAGAGATGTGATCTCACTATGTTGCCCAGGCTGGGCTCAAACTCCTGGCCTCAATCAATCCTCCAGCATCAGCCTCCCAAAGTGCAGGGATTACAAGCGTGCTGCACCAGGCCTGGCCCTGTTTATGAGCGTGCTGCACCGGGCCTGGCCCTGTTTACGAGCGTGCTGCACCGGGCCTGGCCCTGTTTACGAGCGTGCTGCACCGGGCCTGGCCCTGTTTACGAGCGTGCTGCACTGGGCCTGGCCCTGTTTACGAGCGTGCTCCACTGGGCCTGGCCCTATAACTCGATTCAAAAGGAAGCTGCAGCTCAGAGATGTTTTGCACTTGCTGACTGGAGATTTTAAGGAAATAATTTATAAGCAAGTCTCATCACTTCAAAGCCACTGAGACCCCCCGCCCCCGCCACCAGGCATTAACTCTCCCCTTTTCTACATTCCCAATCCAGTCAAGTCAAACCTGCCCCCTGCTCCGGGGGCTCTGTCCCATCTGCTCTGCTGGAGGCATCCCCACCCTCCTCCACCATGGCCTCTGAAGATCGACCCAGCTGCTCCCCAGGCAAAGACCATCCTACGGACACCCCTCTTCTCCTGGACAGACAGCAGGTGAGTGGCTGGCCATGACAGCAAGGCCCCACCTCCCAGCAGCACCAGCAACAAAGCCTTTCGGCAGTCGTGGCCCTGCGCTCTGAAGCCTTCCTGTGTGCAAGGCGTGTTCTTTACACGGTGCTCCGTGCGCTTACTCCGGACTGAACGGGGGAGTGTGACTTCAAAACAAAACACAAAACCACCAAACAAAACTTCCCACTTCACCTAATACTCCATTCAGATCGAGAACTCGGGGAATATTTGTTCAACACACTCAGAAAATGCAGGGTTAGTGATGAGGATTTCAGTTTTGGACCGAAATGGATCTTAAAGATTTTCAAACTTGATGCTTCTAACTTCTAGGAGATAAACTCCTAGTAAATTTCCTGAAGTTTCTGCTTCATTCTCATCAATTGGAGCATTTATTTATTTTCTCTCCTCCATTCCTACAAACCACTGAAATCCATGCCTTTCACTCAGCTCTGAAGGTGCCATGTGGACCTGACGACTGTTTCTTAGTGGCCTCGGCCTCAAACAACTTTCAGTCCCCATTGTGGAGCTGGGGCACACTGGCAACTCTCGCCTTAGAGGTACCTGAAAATCTGTAATTGGTAATTTTGCTGGTTATGATGATGATTAGTTTAATTTTCTACTTCATTATTTTAAGTTTTTTCAAATAATGACAAACACATTGAATATGTAATGATCTAAGAAGTAATAACAGTATTTGGAAAGAACTAGCAACAAGTTTAGGAACAGAGTTGTTGATTCCATTCTAAAGACTAACTACAGCCAGTCATGACCGCTCATGCCTGCAATTCCAGCACTTTCAGAGGCTGAGGTGGGAGGACTGCTTGAGGCCAGGAGCTTGAGACTAGCCTGGGCAACACAGTGAAATCCTATCTCTACAAAAAATATGAAAAATTAGCCAGGCATGGTGGTATGTGCTTGAAGTTCTAGCTACTCAGGAGGCTGAGAAGGGAGGACAGCTTGAACCTGGGAGTTTGAGGCTGCAGTGAGCTGTGATGGTGTCACTGCACTCCAGCCTGGGCAACATGGCAAGATGCCATCCCTTAAAAAAAAAAAAAGAATTTGTAAGAGTCCTTCCTTCTGTCTTGCCTGTTCATGATATGAAAAAGCTATTTTCACTACTTCCTGGGAAAGTGTGCTTTCAGGCATCTTATTCACGGATAACAAAATATCCCACAGGCATGACCTTCCTGACATGACTCTAGCATGTAGCAAGACACCTCGCCTCTCCCTGGGCAGCAAACACGCCCCGTTGGCTGTGCGGCCGGCCTCCCTCCCTTCCACTCGCCCTCACACACCCTGGGCCGTCGGCCTGCATCCTAGTTTGTCTCTCAGGACGGGGTGCATGTGTTTACTTTACCGGTCCTCAACAGCCGTGGCACCAAGCAGAATCAGATCTTTCTCTATTTGCTCATAGGCTTCGGCTAACTTTTTCTCTCGATCTTGAAGGGCCACTTTAGCAGCCTGCAGCAGTTTACAAATGCCTTCATATTCTTCTTGGATCAGCCTCTTGTAAGCAACACACAAAGTTCGGAGCCCCTCCTGCAGAATACAACGCAGCGTTTAGCACAAATTCAAGGTGTCACTTGCTGAAATATTACGCTCCATGGCCTTCCCAGTATCCCTTCTCTCATTAGAGTAACTAACCCAGGAATTGTAACCCTTTCGAAACTTACAGTACTAAGTAAACAAAGAAAGATTATAACTCAACCAACTCTCGAAAGGAGTAAGTCATTAACAAGTGAATTATTTAAGTCCACATTAAATATAAAGAATCATTATGGATCACAGCATATGGATCACAGACTAGAAAGCCTGGAAATCAGTAACAGAAATCAGGGTCATCTACCAAAAGATAAACTTCATTCCTTTACTTTGACAAATGCAGAGGTAAATTGAACCTTTTTTTAAGGATAATCATTTGTAATTTTTTTTTTTTTTTTTTTGAGGCGGAGTTTCGCTCTGTCGCCCAGGCTGGAGTGCAGTGGCCGGATCTCAGCTCACTGCAAGCTCCGCCTCCCAGGTTTACGCCATTCTCCTGCCTCAGCCTCCCGAGTAGCTGGGACTACAGGCGCCGCCACCTCGCCCGGCTAGTTTTTTTTTGTATTTTTTTTAGTAGAGACGGGGTTTCACCGGGTTAGCCAGGAAGGATGGTCTCAATCTCCTGACCTCGTGATCCGCCCGTCTCGGCCTCCCAAAGTGCTGGGATTACAGGCTTGAGCCACCACGCCCGGCCAATCATTTGTAATTTTACGGGTAATATCAAGTGATATTTCTAAAGTAACCATGTTTTATGCAGGAAGTTTGTAAGGTGGTTGTTCTTTCACAATGAAGGAAACCTGCCAGGTTATTTATTAAAAATCATTGGTTGCATGGGAACATAAGAAATTAAGAATCACAAATTCTTTACTGTGATCATGATTCTGGATGTCACCACACAGAGAGGATGCAGCCGCCACCAGCAAGACACAAGGAAGGGGGGCAGAGGCTGAAGCGGCCACAAGGAGGTGGTTCACAGATGAACCTCTTCATTCCGTCAGTCAAGGCTGCTGAGGGCGACCCTCACAGAGGTTTACCGATGATCTAGGGTGTTTCCCTTCCCTTTTCCCTGCTCCTTCAGCCCCAGCCCTGATGACAGTAAAAGAACCATAATCCTCCCAAATACCCATTTTAAAATCTGGGAGAATGCTGGTTTTTAAGAGTTTAATCAATGTTTTCCATTAGATGAAGCGTCCCCTAACTCTCAGGGAAGGCTCGTATTTATCACCAGTTTCAGACCTCTTAATTCATGTGAAGGACAGAATTGCCACTGGGTCAATGGCTCTCATGGCCCTTGAGCTCTCAAAAGCCAGAAGGGGAAAGGGGGAGTTGAAGAAGTGAGAACACAAGACAGGGTCTATGTGTGCCTGAGTCCTGTTCACTAGGAACACTCTTGAACTACTTCCTTCCCATCCTCCAGATATTGTCTCCTGGTCAAGAATAAGTGAGAAGCCAGTGGACCTGTCTCAGAGGAAAGCAGCACTGAATAAACACTGCTCAGCCACCCCAGCCTCACCTTCTGCTGAGCACACGACCTTGCAGCTTTCTGCTCATGGGTTTGCCTCTATTGTTAGGCACTGGGTTCTCTGGCTGTGGGCGCTGTGTCTGACTTCATCACTGAATCCCTAGCACACAGCCCAAACCCAACAACTTTTGCTGAATAAGTAAGTGGTTGACATTAGACCTTTTGTGCACCTGGTCACCAAGTTACAGATTGGAGTCATAAATGCGAATTGCAGAACGAATTCTCTGACTTTTCCTAAGGGGCAATAAAACATACAAGATATACAGCTTCAGTCTGAAACCGGAAAAACTGCATAACAAGAAAATGGTTTTATAGGATAATAACCCAGAGTGGCCCCAGAACTTAGGATGCTGTGAGTGGTAAGCAGAAGCTTTTGGAAATAAATGTTTCTGCTTTTAAAAGTCAATCAAGGACTTTCTCTTGTGGTAACACAGAACAGAAATACTTTTCTCTATTCCTCCTGCTAAGTGCTACAAAAACCCTGGACACAGCACATAAAACAAAGCCAGATAAATACACTACAAGAAAACTGCAGAACAATATCCCTTAGAAATATAGATGCAAATATCCTCAACAAAATATTAGCAAACTGAATCCAATGGCACATTGAAAGGATCCTACACCACAACCAAGTGGGGTTTATTCCAGGAATGCAAAAGTGAGTCAGCATATGAAAGTCAACGCAATATATGACATTAATAGAATGAAAGGGAAAATCCCATATGATCATCTCAACTGATGCAGAAAAGGCATCTGAAAAAAATCCAGCCCCTTTTGGTGATAAAATCACTTAATAAACTGGGTAGAGAAGAAACCTCCTCATTGTGGTAAAAACCACTTAAGTGAAAAACCCAGCAGAGTGCAGTGGTTCACGCCTGTAATCCCAGCACTTTGGGAGGCCGAGGTGGGCGGATCACCTGAGGTCAGGAATTCAAGACCAGCTCGGCCAGTGTGGTGAAACCCCGTGTCTATTAAAAATACAAAAATTAGCCAGGTGTGGTGGTGCATGCCTGTAATCCCAGCTACTCAGGAGGCTGAGGCAAAAGAATTGCTTAAACCCAGGAGACAGAGGTTGCAGTGAGCCGAGATTGCGCCATTGCACTCCAGCCTGGGCAACAAGAGCAAAACTCTGTCTCAAAAAAAAAAAAAAAAAAAAAAAAAAAAAAGAAGAAGAAAGAAAAACCTAAGCTCACATCACCCTCCATGGTGAAGGACTGAAAGCTTTTCCAGGATCAGGAACAAGACAGGGATGCCCGCTTTTGCCACTTCTATTCAACAGAGTATTAGACGCTCTAGTGAGAGGATCAGGCTATGAAGAGAAAAAGAAAGTTTCCACATTAGAAAGAATGTCTTTCTAAGGCCCATTTGCAGACGACACGATCCCATATCTAGAAGACCATGAAGAATGTGCCCCCCCTACTAACTGAATTCAGCAAAGACACATGGTACAAAGTCAACACATGAAAACTAGTGGCATTTCTATACACTACCAATGAAAAATCTGAAAAGGAAATTAAAAAAAAATTCACTTATAATCACATCAACAAGAGTAAAATACTTAGGAATAAATTTAACCAAAGAGGTGAAAGACTCGAGACTGAAAAATACCAAAGTTTGCTGAAATAAATTATAAAATACCTAAATAAATGGAAAGATATCCCATGTTCATGGATTGGAAGACTTAATATTGTTAAGATGACAATGCTACCCAAAGTGATCTACTGATAAACGAAATCCCTATCAACATCCCAATGGCTCCTCCCTCCCACCCTCCCTCTGTTTCTTTTTTTTTGAGACAGGGTCTTACTCAGTTACCCACCGTAACATGCAGTGGTGCCATCATGGCTCACTGCTGCTTTAAACTTCTGTGCTCAAGCAATCCTTCTACCTCATCCTGCCTGGTGGCTAGGACCACAGATGTGTGCCACCACCCCTGGCTGATTTTCCTTGTGTATGTTTTGTAGAGACAGGGTTTTGCTATGTTTCCCGGGCTGGTCTCAAACTTCTGGCCTCAAGTGATCCCTCTGCCTCAGCCTCCCAAAGTGCTGGAATTACAAGTATGAGCCACCGTACCTGGCCCCCAGTGGCATTTTCTGCACAAATGAAAAAGCCCATCCTAAAATTCCTATTAAATCTCAGAATAGCCAAACCATTTTATAAAAGAAGAACAAATTTGAAAGACTCACATATCCTGGTTTCAAAGCCTGCTAGAAACTGACAGTAATCAAAACAGCGGGAACTGGGATAAAGACAGATGTAGAGAGAATGAGATGGAACAGACAGCCCAGAAATAAACCTCCAGGTAAGTGGTCAAATGCTTTTCAGCAAGGGTGTCAGGATCACTCAGTGGGAGAGGAAAGTCTTCACCAAACGGTGACAGGAAAACTGGATAACCATACACAGGGGCATCAAGTAGGACCCTCCCTTTATGAAAGATGCAAAAATTAGCCAAACAAGGACTACACTCCTAAATTTAAGAGCTAAAACTAGAAAACCTATAGAAAAACACACAGCAGCGGCCAATCTTCATCATCTTGGATTTCACAGCGTTTTCCTCGACGTGCGCTGACAGCAAGCACAACCACTGAAAGGAGAAATCAACTGGACTCGAAGGACACACAGGCCCCTCTGGACTGTCTCTTTATTTATTGTCACTTCTCCTAAATCTGTAATTATTTCAAAATAAAATGCTGCCAACCGAGGGGGCCCTGCAAGTGCCCAGCTCACTACCCAGACCCAGCTCACTACCTAGAGAGCTTCCAAGCCGAGGCTCGGGCAGGGGAACGAAGCCGGAGCCGGTCAATTCCCTGAGTTACAGGGCAGACCTTGGCGTCAAGGAAACAAGCATCAGAATTCCCAGGATGAGTGGATGCCAGAGGCTGTGGATGGCCCCTCTGGCACCTGCAGTTGTGAGGAAGCTCCTGGAAGCCAGGAACAAGCCATTAGGAGGAGGGTGGGACAGCCTGCTGCCAGGAGGCACGGCCACTCGCCAGGCACAGCGCTCGGGGCCTGGCAGGTTGGGGAGCACCACCCGGGGCAGGCACTGCTGTGGGTCTACTGAACATCATGAAGGCGTGGCCTGAAAGGAACAGAAAGGAGTTCCCAGGAACTCAGCTGCACCCCAGAACAAGATTCAAGATCTCCAGGAGGACCACGATACCCAGAATCCAACAAAGCTCACAGGCCACCAGCATGCAGGGGCACCGTTCCTGCCCCAAACAAGGGGACTGTGCAACCGCTGTGGCTGGCCCAGAGCTGGCAGCAGGAGTGCCGTTAGCAAGGAGGATTTAAACAGTCACCGCCACTGGATCACACACGCCCCATGTTAAGCAGGGGAATGAGGATACAAAACACGCTGGCGGGATTTCTAGACATGAAAACTCCGACATCTGAGGGGAGGGGTGTCCTGCATGGGGCGCTGACAGGTTAGACGCTGCATGGAAAAGACTCGTGACGTGGCAACAGAAACTGTCTCTAACAACATGTGGAAAAACTTCAAGGGAAAAGCCTTCGTAAGCAATGAGAACGTTCGGGAGTCGAGTATATGGGTCACTGGAACTGTTGAAATGGAGCGGGGAAGAAAAATATCTGTAGAATAATTGCTGAAAATTTTTAACTTGATGAAACTCCACAGATCCAAGATGCTCAAGACTGCTGAGCAAAGAAACACAACATCACTCCACAAAGGCATCCCATCACGAAACACCTCAAAAGCAGCCAGAAAAGGGAAGCTGTGGACAGAGAAATGCAGACGCTGTGACAGCAGGGTCCCCAGGAGAAAAGGTCATATCGGCCCAGCCCCAGACACGCAGAGCAGGCGACCTCCAGCAGCTGCTTCTGCAACAGTCCCAACTGGAAACAATCCATGTCCGCCAACAGGCGGGAGAATCAAGAAACTGGCCCATCTGTAGAAAAAACCAGTACTGCAAGTGCTCGGCAAATGAACTAGTACTGCTAGTGCCGGCAACTGGACTGGTTAGTACCGCTAGTGCCGGCAACTGGACTGGTTAGTACTGCTAGTGCCTGGCAACTGGACTGATTAGTTATCACTAGCACCTGACAACTGGACTGGTTAGTACCGCTAGTGCCCAGCACTTGGACTAGTACCGCTAGCACTTGGCAACCGAATGAGTGCTGCTGTTCATCACAACAGAAATGAACAGGCCCACATGGCCGAGTCTCAGCAGTTACGGGAGTGAAAGACGCTGGATGAAACAGCCACCTTTTGTGATTCTGCTGATAGGAAGCTCCAGAAGGTGGGCACGAGTCTGTAGTGATGGCGAGTGGAGCGGTGGTCTGCAGTGAGTGGGAGTTGGCAGGGAAGAGAATATGAGGGCGCGAGACAGTCTCTGGGGTGAGGGAAGCGTCCCCGTCCCAACAGGCAACGCTTCCGTGTGCATTCGTGTGTCAACGCCCTTGCTGCTGTCGCGTTTTAAATGTGTATAGATGAATGTATGGCAATTACATCTCAAGAAGGCTTTTTGAAACAAGCAGCAAATGGACTTTAAAATCATCACAATTCACATAATCCATGTGAAGGATGCTTGTGCTACTCAGAGGAACCTGCTCGGCTTTCATGCCGCAACTCTGTGGCTGGAGGAAGTCAGTGCTATTGCAGATCCCGCTCGGAGAAGTTCAACAATCCTAAACCTGCTGCTGATTTATGGATTCCTGTTGGTTCCAAGGCAGCTACTTTGTAATGCTAGTTGTTGTTTTAACAGCAACTTAAAGGTGAATGATCTGCACATTGACAGCATTCCACGAAGTTCAGAGCCGCTCTGGCTGCTGCAAGCACAGGCTCACACGTGAAAGGGCTCCTGTCCATCAGCAGGAATTCTTAACGCTCTGACATCTGCAGTAATCAAGCGTTGAGACTGACAGTGAGGACAAAGGCTGCTTTATTCATAAATGGTAAGTGAAGGCAGCGCTGAGCACTATGGCCTCTAGTACGAGGTTCCCTTGGCTCAGCCTTCCTTGGTGCTGAGCCAGCCTTGGAAGTCTTGTTCCCAGTGCATAGCCATTCCGGCCAGCGTCATTTTGGACCTCTGGGAGGAGAGCCTGTCAGTCACTGTTTCCTTCTCATGAAAAGATGAAGACGGTGTGAGACAAGGGGCTGCCCTGGGCTGGAGTGAGGGAGAAGACCCCAGGGTGGCATCGGGAGAAGGGTGCAGACGCCGTGGGACAAAGCAGCCATGTGGAGAGCAGAGGGAGCGCATCTACCCAGCCAAGCGTCACCTAGCCATGCGTCGCCCAATGTTAGGGCGTCTGACGGGAGGGAGCGCGTCCACCCAGGCACGCGTCACCCAGGCACGCATCACCCAGCCACGCGTCACCCAGTGTTAGGGCGTCTGACGGGAGGGAGCGCGTCCACCCAGCCACATGTCGCCCCACCACGCGTCACCCAGCCACGTGTCGCCCTGTGTTAGGGCGTCTGATGGGAGAGAGTGTGTCCACCCCCATCCACATGTCTGACAGGGAGGGGAGGCCCTGCTGTGAGAGACACTCAGGCCATCCCCCTACTGCAGCAGCCCCAAAGAGAGAAAGCCAGACCCGCAGAGTGGCAAGCTCAGGTGTGCAGGCCGCTGGGCAATGCTACACAAGAAGTGGTGGAAAGAAACCTTATCGTACAGGCTTAAGACCCAGATGGGGAAAGAAACCCGAACAGGTGATGTCACAACAGAAAACGAAAGCACTGACTTGTTTTGAAGCAAATCACTAGAAACGTCAAGACAAAGACCTTTTTGCTCCAACACAAGGACCACAAACGTGCTAACATCAATCAACCAACCTCGCACCCACCCCGAAATAAAACCCTGCGCAAGGCTGGGGCCTGGCTGGGCATTGGAGGCCCCTCGGGGTAGATGTCAGCCGAAGTTGCCCGTCTGTCTGCATCTGGCCCAGCTGATTTCTGAACATTCCCAGGGGATACAATGCGCCATTCCCAGCCAGGAACTTGTGGCAAATGGAATTCCTTCCTGACAACAGGGGCGCTGACCGCCACGAGGCCCTCCCCAGCCCGGCTCTCACCACTGCGTTCCGCTCCACTCTGGCTCGGATCTGGTCAACTTTGCCTTCTATCACTCGGGGGAATATTGAAGAATCTGCTCCTTTGCAAAACAGATAAATTTCTCCTACAAAATGAGAAAAACGAGGAGTTTAATCACAATATGGGGAAGACTAGATTATTTTTAAAATTATGCCATTATTAAAAAACCAACAACCGGGATAGCGGTGTGGAAACCTTTTTAAAGAAGATTTTAATGGACCAGTTAACATGTTACAGTCAGGAAAAAATAAAACCTACAGATTACCTCCAAAGCCTCGTTTTATTCCTACAACCCTAGACATCTCACAGGAAAGGCGGGAACCAGGAAAAGAACTTGGCTCCAGGCCTCTGTTTTCTCTAGGAAAGACACGAAAGGGGATAAAACGCCCTCGGGACGGGGGCTGGGGTGACCGAAAGGGGGTCATGGTTTCTGAAATGCTGGAAGGTGAACACAAATCCCCTTCGGAGAGCCATGTGTCCTCACACAGAGCGAGGCCGCCGGGACACCCCCGAACTTGGAAGAGTCACAGGAAATGTTGCATCATTTTTTCCCACGCCTCTCGTAACATTGCGACTGCTGTGGACATACTTGTGCCGTGAACGCGGGCTTCTCAGGCCTCGGATAAAGCGAGTTTCTCTTTCAGGCACTGCAGCACGCAGCAAAGGCCATGACAGCTCTGCCGTGATGTGACCTGCTCCCGACACACAGAGCCCCCTTTGCCCCTGAAGCATCCCCTGGTCTGCGAAGCCACGTGGCACTCTGCCAGGCGGCTGGTTTGTGCCTGGGTGCAGGGAAACGCCACGGTACTCCATCTTGGCGACAGCAGGGTGGGAGAAGCACCACAGCAGCCTGAGCAGCACGCTTAGGAAGCTCCATGCCCAGCTCCTGGTGGCGCAGAGAGCGCTCTGCGACCCCTAGACACTGAGGTCCCTCGGGAAGTCTATCAGGGACCAAATCCAGAGGGCCCCAGGGTGGGCAGGCAGTGGTCCCCACGGGGGTGGTGGGAGGGACGTGGGGAGGGGACGCTCCTGGGCTGACGACCTGGATCCAAGGCCTGGAGTTTGGACGAGGACTCAGGAGTAGGAACGGGTCCACATTGCCTTCCTTCCCGGATCCCAGGAGGCGCTAACTCCTGAGACACCGACAGGGAAGCCGTGGGAACACGGCTACACCTGACGCTCATGTGGCTGAGGTGACTGCCAACCTGCAGCCAGAGAGGATGGCACCTGGTGATGCGGGTGTTGCCAATACATGGAGCAAACCAGTGCTGAGCAAAGGCTGGAGGGCATGGGAGAGGACAGAGGCTGAGGCTGGAGGAGGCTGAGGCTGGAGGAGGCTGAGGCTGGAGGGCACGGGACAGTGAGCAGGTGGGGGACAGAGGGCACAAGAGAGTGGGGAGGCTGAGGCTGGAGGGGACGGGAGAGGACGGAGGCTGAGACTGGAGGGCATGGGAGAGTGAGCAGGTGGGGGATGGAGGGGACGGGAGAGTGGGGAGGCTGAGGCTGGAGGGGATGGGAGAGTGAGCAGGTGGGGGGACAGGGGCACAAGAGTGGGAGGCTGAGGCTGGAGGGGACAGGAAGGGACGGGAGGCTGAGACTGGAGGGCATGGGAGAGTGAGCAGGTGGGGGATGGAGGGGCCAGGAAGTGGGAGGCTGAGCTGGAGGGATGGGAAGTGAGCAAGGTGGGGGATGGAGGGGATGGAAGAGTGAGCAGGTGGGGGATGGAGGGGACGGGAGGGTGGGGAGGCTGAGGCTGGAGGGGATGGGAGAGTGAGCAGGTGGGGGATGGTGGGGACAGGGAGTGAGCACGCTGAGGCTGAGCTGGAACGTGGGGAGGCTGAGGCTGGAGGGGATGGGAGAGTGAGCAGGTGGGGGATGGTGGGGACAGGGGAGTGAGCACGCTGAGGCTGAGAGCTGGAACCCAGAGGGCCCCTGCAGAACTGCACAGGTGTGACCACGGAGTCTCAGTTGCTTAGCACAGAAAAGCAGGGCCCAGGGGTTAAACCACCCAGCTGATGTCGGAGCCGTTTCCCGACTCCCACGGTTTCCAGCCAATGCTGTGGTGTCATCAGATGCAGTTTAGAATAACTATGGTCCAGATGACATAATGATGCATTCTTGAACAGCAGCACATTTTTTACTAGAAAATTCATGTTTCATGGCTCACAACTCATGCCAAGAGCATGTGAATGGCTTAACTTTCCCACTGTCTCAGCTTGTGAATTCTGCTGTGAGACACAGGACACCTTCAGCCTGAAGAGTTGGTCAGGAACAGCCTTGGAACAAAAAAACCCAGAGGACAGAGCAAAAGTTAATCTACAACGAGCAACAGAAGACCGTGTTTTGCAGCTGCTTTGCAGAGCCGTGCACACGCAGGTGCCGCGACCGAACACACAGGATCCTGTCCCCAAGACAGCTGGGCTGTGTCGCAGGTGCAGCCGTGGTTGGTGGCTGTCCCCTCCAGGACCAAGAAGGGCTTAGTGCCATTTGGAGAAGAGAAAGGGCTACAGAACCTCAGTTTGAGCCCATGGTGGGGGGGTCTCTCACTGTGTCTCACAGACGAGCTCAAGGACATGGAAAGCCAGGCATGACAGCCAATGTCCCCGAAATGGCTGGAAAACAGCACCAAGGAAGCTGCTCCCAGAGGAGCTCTAGGAGGGTGCACGGTTAGGACTTTCCTTCTTCTCTTTCGTCTTTTCTGCTTTTCTTTTTCATAGATGAATATGCTTACGTCCTCTCCCTTTCTTCTTTCAAGTTGGTGTTCCATGGACTGCGTGCATCTCACCTGGGGTGCAGTGAGCGTCCGCAGGATCCCCCCAAAGAGAAAGACTTCACATCTCCCTTTGAAAGGGAATGCCTGATGCAGCCGAGTAGCCTGTGACTTCCAAGTCCTCCCTCAAAATTCCACTGCGGAGAATCCCAGGAAAGCACATGACTGAGGTACAGACATCCGAAAATGGGAGGCCCCTGTTGGGGCTGCCCGGCCCCCCAGCACTGAGATCCGGCTCCGACAGCCGCACCCCCACGCAGGGCTGAGCCCAGGGGGAAACACGGGCTGTGAGCTGGCTGCCGGGTCGCCCCGCCCAGCAGGCAGAACTCCAGTGCAATTAGTGTGCCTCTCCAGGGAGGATCACCACTTACAGAACACCTTGCTTAATTACATATTCAAGCTTCTCTTCAAAGTAACTGCCGAGTGGCTGGCTTCAGACAGCAGGGCAGTCTCTCCTGCAAGCTCTCAGTTCCTCGGAGAGGCCCTAGGAGGCCCACAAGCGTCCCTATGCGGATGGGGATATTCTCATGGCACAAATGCCTCCAACCTGGATTCTTCAAGTGATCCAGTAGCTCTTCAGCCTTTTGATGGTAACAGAAGTTATTTACAAAGATTCTGCGGCGTAGCCCACAACATTGAGCCCCGAGGTCTCAGGCATTCAGGATGCAGCAAAGACCCTTTGAGTGTGAGGCAGGGGCGGCCGAGCGCGTGGCAGGGGCAGCTCTGGGTGAGTGCGTGGCAGGGGCGGCCGAGCACGTGGCAGGGGCAGCTCCAGGGTGGCTGATGCTTGCCTTCTTGGGCACTGTGGTCAGCCCCGCAAGTCACGGGCAGCATGTTCCAGCCACGGCTCAACAGCTAGATTCGACTTCTACAGGGAAAACCGTGTGATGGGTTGGACCAGGAACTTCCTACCCAGGATGTGTTTATCCCAGATAACTCCAAGTGGCTGAGATTCTCAGGACCGCGCCTCATCTGAGCCAGGGGGAAGGGCTCCGACACACACAGGTCTCACGCATCCGAACCTGTTCTCAGACCCCGTCCTGCTGATCCCACGGTCCAGCTGGCAGAAGGTCTTCACGGGAGTCCTGGCAACATTCACACACAGACGGTTCCTCATCCTGTGACCATCAGTGGACGTCTCACTGTGGAGCCCGGATTCATCCCACATTCGACGGCGTGTCTCAGAGGTGATGCAGCAGGACTGTGTCTAAGGAACCGGCGGAGGCAGGTGGCAGCCCCCAGAGCAGCAACGGCACCCTCCTGAGGCTACTGCCCACCCCAGAGCTGCTATGACTCACAGGGCGTCACTGAGAGCCACACCGCCCCCCACAGCTCCTTCCGGGGCTTAGAAAGTGAGGCACCAGGGTCCTGATCAGAAGCGAGCCTGACGGCACTGATGAAGGCCCTCCTCCATCTACTCTGTGCTAAAATGAAACTCGGCACGTCTTAGGAAAACGCGGCACGAAGCTCTCCAGCCTGGAGTCTGTCTGGTTCCAGGGAGCGGCTGTTTGGTTGTCTGCCAGGCATCTTTCCAAAGAGCTAAATGCAGCCTGGGATTGTCTGGTTTTAGGAAACAATGAAGAGTGAGATCCCACAGCTCTCGACAAAGCCCCGCTCCGACGCTGGGCTCTCAAGGGCACAGGATTTGGGAGCACTCGGTGGAGGGCGGCATGACGTGAGCGTGTTGCTGAGAAGAGCATCGGTTCTGCGTTCGGGATGCGTGTGGGCTGCCAGCGGCCGCAGACGGACGGACGGACGGCCCCACCACAGGGCAACGTCCCGCATGCGGCTGTGGGGCTGAGGGCCGGGAGAGGCTTCCTGAGCCGTCCGTGGAAAGGACAGATGGGTGAAAGGCCCTTCCTATGGGAAAGCACCGCAGGCAGCAGGGAATGAGGCCACTGTGGGGGGTGCGGGCAGTGCCCTCTGGGGACACTTAGGGACAGTCTGGCGATGAAGGTGGGTGAGAGCCTCAGAGGGGACGCTGGGAGAAGCTCAGCACCGGCGGGTGGGAGCTCTTAGGAAGCAATGGCCACGCAAAGGGGTGGCCCCTGCAGATGGAGCCCATGGGCCCTGCCTGTCCAGGGCAAAGAGCCAGGGGCGCCCGCCCCTTCGAGCCTCAGCACTGTGGGTGGGAGCCTGAGGGGCTGCGATGTTGAGTGGCCTGTGGCACATGTCATGTCCCACGTGACCTGGTGAGAGTGGGGGGAGACGAGGTTGTCCGCCTGTGCATGGGGGATGCAAAGTGCCTGGGAGGGTCCCTCACAGGGAGGTCAGGGGACCACAGACGTGTCCACCTGGACTGGAGAGGGAATTGTCCGGGACAGGGGCAGCCACAGGTCAGAGTGGGGGGACCAGGAGAGTGCCCACCCGTGCGGGTCACCAAAACATCACGGCGGCCACAGGGCCCTGACTGCGCCCCGCCACTGCTCACCCCAGCTTTCCGGAGCACAAACCGAGTGTGCTGTTCTCACAGACACACTGTTACGGCAACCGCCAATCAACAAAGCTCACTTTGCAATTTTGAACATTATTACAGATACGTTTGCAAACCCACACTACCTTTTCCTTGAAAGTGGTTATTTAAAAACATTTTATGTCATTTACTTCTGCATGGAAAAAAGCGGGTGGGGGAAGGGATGGGCAGGGAAACACTCACAAATGCAGTTAAGCAATTTTCAACAGTAAAGTGGCCCCAGCTCGACACTAAAAGATGGACAGAGCAAGGGTGCCGGGTGTTTAGCCCAGGACTCCCTCCTCAGCATTTCAGAAATGTTTCACTTTTTAAAAATAAAAATATAGCATTTTGAGAGGATCTGTCTATACTCTTTTAAAAAAGAACAAATCATTCTTAAACGCTAAATCCTTAAAGGTCCTGTAGAATTTAGTCATCAGAATAAAACACCACCACCATGTATAACTTAATAAAAGAAAAAGAAATTTTACCTGTAGCGGATTTTACAATTACACTCATTCTCCTTCTAACTGAGTCAAAACTTAAAATTTCCAGCAATTCAAACCTGAAAGAGAAACGCAGAGGGTCACACCGTCCACGTGGGTCCTCACGCGATTCCATCTGGTAGCTACGAAGCTCTCCGCAGCAGAATGGCTGGGGCAACCCTGGCCCCTCCTCAGGGGACACACGAGGGCTGCTGGGTGAGAGCTGTCCTCACACAGACGCCCTGAGAGGCCTGGATTTGAAGGACACGGTGGGTGTACCAGTGAGGCAGAGTCTGGGCCCCGTGGCACCTGTGGCACCAGCTCCTCAACACATCCCCACCCGACCCAGGGCATGGGCTCACATTCTGTCAAGCAGGCTACGCTCCCTATGCACCGACTCCCTCCCTAAACATTGCTGAACAGACTCAAAGTTGTGTCAGAGCTCGGATCCTTGCCAATGAACCGGTGTTACCCTAAGAGATCAGAACCATAGAAAAAGCAAAGGACACTGGCGTTTTGCCTGGTGCCATCCTGTTACCGGAAGACTCAGAAAACCTGTGTGGCGTCTGGAGCGTCGGAAGTGTTTGGGAGCCCCTGCTGCCGCCCCTCAGTCTCCTCAGGGCCTTGGACTCAGTGGGAAGCTGAGGAGGGGCTCTGGCCACAGTGCCAGCCCAGTTCGGAGCCAGGGGTTCCTCGGCAGAGCCCCGACGGGGGCTCTCATCTAGTCCACGATCTCACCGCCTCCACGGCTGCAAACCCGGAGCCTCAACAATGGTGACTTGCGGCCCCCAGGAAGCCCAGGGCGCTGTGGGGAGGGCACAGCCGGTGCCAGTGGAGGGCCCGGGTCACCCTGGAGCCCGGGAAGCCCAGGGCGCTGTAAGGAGGGCACAGCCAGTGCCAGCGGAGGGCCCGGGTCACTCCAGACCCTGGGAAGCCCAGGGAGCTGTGGGGAGGGCACAGCTAGTGCCAGCGGAGGGCCCAGGTCACTCCAGACCTCGGAAAGCCCAGGGAGCTGTGGGGAGGGCACAGCTGGTGCCAGCGGAGGGCCCAGGGCCAGTGCAGCGAGCCCAGGCCATCTGTTCCCCTGAAAGCCCAGGAGCTGGGGAGGGCGCTGTGCCAGCGGAGGGCCCAGGTCACCCAGACCTCGGAAGCCCACAGGGAGCTGTGGGGAGGGCACAGCTGGTGCCAGCGGAGGGCCCAGGAGCCCCTGCCGAATCAAGGGGTTTGTCCTTTCCCTTCCACTGGGGAGTTTATTTTCCCTAAGAATGAAATTTTAAAATCCAGGTGTTTTGAGGTCGTCACCACCAGATCTTGTGTCTTTGCTGGAACGGTGACCGCACATTTACGCTTATTGAGTCAGATCTCAGAAAAACCATCCGGGGAAGCAGCCCTGTGGCTGAACCCAAGCCCTTCTCTAACGGTCCAGCACTTCTCCAGAACATCTGGTAACATTCCTGGGGTGTCACTGGGAAGGAGAGGAAGCGAATTGCGGGAGAACATAGAGAACTTGTCTTTTCCCTCAAATACAGAACCTTATAAAGAACATTCTTTATTCTTTACTCCCTTCACATCTGAGGGCGAGTTGCACATACCTTTCGACGTGGTTCTCCCTGTTTAATACCTCCATGTAATTGTCCTTCAGCCTCAGGTAGGTAAAGCCAAGTCTGCAATGCAAAGGGAAACCTCAGGGTGAATCTGAGATACTGATGTTCCTCTTGCACTATTTGCTTTGTATTTTGGTAAAGCGTTCTTTTCAAAAAAGAAACACTTTCAGTTAAACAGAGATTATAAACTGCATTATAAAGTTAGGAAATTATCATTACGAACTTATTTACCATCTCAAAAAATCTTCCAAGAGCAACAGAATTTCTACCCAACCCAGCCCTCCCTGGTACACAGCAGTGAGGCACTTTCTTGTCAGTATTAATTGTTCTCCAGCAGAGAGTGGCAGGCACATGGCCTGCAATCCTTGCTTCGATGACACCTTTGCTCACTGATTCGTGGGCTCTGTTGTTGCTGGTGAGCAGAGAACACGATGCCAGAGGGAGAGGGTCTCTGAGAGGCTGTGACCCCCAGACCAAGCCCCTTGAGTCACGACGGGGAACCAAGGCCCAGCGCAGGCCTTCAGCCAGCATGTGGGTGCACCCATCTGTGCAATGCCTCCTCCTGCATGCCTGAGGGTCAGCGACCTTCACGGCCTTGTGGGAGCCGCTGGGATGGCAGAGACAGAGCATGGCTTTGGGATGTGAGAGGCCAGCAGGGACCCGGGAGAAAGACGTGCTTCCCAGCACAGCTGCGGCCATCATCGCAGCACCAGGGGGATGGGAGTGGAGGCCGCTGGCCAGCCCAGGTGGGAGCAGTGGCTGGAGGAAAAGCTTCAGGGCGGGGAGAAGTCTCAAAGGCGGACAGGGCAGCCTGCCTTCACTTCTAACACCTGTGATGAAGGCAGTGGCATTCCTGGGCACTTGTGTTCCAAGAAGAGAGAAACCCAGCTCCAGGAAGCCTCACCTATGCATGTGTGGGTTTACGCATGGACGAAGGGCCCCAGTGATACTGCAGACGTATCTGTGCTGTTCAAATTGCACGGAGAAAACGCATCAGTTTAGCGGCGACAAAAACATGGCTGTAATGAGGGGAGAAGCGCTAACATGATTCTCACCACACTCAGTCCCTGAAGGCAGTGTCCCTTTATTGTTTTTGGAGAGGGGAGATTCGGTATTACAGAAGTCATGAGCTGGGTGGATTTGAAAACGGCTTCCCTGAGTTGAAATTATCCACGTATCTGGAATGCCTCAAGTATTTTTCCAAGCGTTTGCTTAAAAGCTGGGCGGTGAGAGGTTGTGCACCAGCTCCTCTCTGCCCCACCCAGGCTGTGGCTCTGGGAAGGCTGCTGGGCCTCTGGCTTCAGTTTTCTGAGATGCAGGAGGGATATTTGTGTTAAAGGAAGGATTGTTTCCACATTTCAAAGCCTGTGGTTATTTGGAATGACCTCTAACTTACTGCAGACCTCAGGAGGAAAAGCCAGCCACGAAAAGTCAGAGCTGAAGACTCATGCGCTGGGGACCAGACGCTGCTTATCACAGTGGGAGGGGCTCATACAGGGACGGGGTCCCCAGAACCTGGGCGCAAAGGCAGCAGAGCTCAGTGTGCAGGGCACGGGGTGGGGCCGAGGACGCCTCCAGATGCAAGTCCCTGACTGGGGCCGGGGTGGGGCTGAGTCACATCAGGAAACCCAGGCAGACCCTCGGCCCGAGACGCACCTCTGGACACCTTCGACCAGCGCCACCTCGTCGGGCGAGGATGAGATGTACACACAGGATTTCCCCCCATCTGGAGACTTCCTGGGGCCGTCCACGCTGTCATCATCTTTCACCTGGACGGTGTGGCAGAGACAGAGGGCCCGGAAAAACAGCTCCTCGCGCTCCTATAAAAAAGCAGTTCCCAGAACCCACAAATCACTATGCATCCACTGAAGATAGAGGGAAACAGGCACAGACAGAAAACACGAAGTGGGGTTTGGTTCCCGCAGCCACGAAGGCAGCTTGCGGGCGGTGAGGGGTTATACGGTGGGATGGAATTACGGCTTTCCATCATTCTCAAGCGCTCCGTGGTAACTGAAATTGACGGGTGATGAAGACTGAAACAGGCGTGTGTTCTTCAGCACCGACATGTTTAGAAACCAGAGGCTTCACGTGCACTCGGAAATGGCAAACCACCATGAGCGTCCGGGAAGGGAGACTGAGTCACACGGGGCCGCAAACACAGACAACCACAAACATGCTGGACCCTGGCTGTGCCTCCGCCCCGGTGCCTGCGCGATGGTGACATGCTCCTAACCGAAGCGTGTTAGACTAGACATGACCGTGGCACTCCTGCTGTTGACTCACATCGTAACGTTCACCCTGAAACCCCCTAAGAAGCAGGAGCTATTATCCTGCGCCTGCAGCTGCAGAATCAGCATTCAGGAAGGTGAAGAGATGTGCTCAGGGCCACAGCCAGCTGGAACCTGATCCCCAAGGCTGCCCTGTGTGTGGGAAAATTCAGGAATGGCGTCGGCCTGGGACCCCAGTCCTGCCCAGAGATGCTGAGATCTGGAGCCACTGCACTCGGGGTGTGTGTGAGAGTGCATGTGTGTGTGTCTGCACGTGAGTGTGTCTGTGTGTGCATACGGTTTCTGGGCATGCGTGAGAGTATGTGTGTGTGTCCGCGTGTGAGCGTGTGTGCAGTGTGTGCACATGGTGTCTGGGTGTGTGTGTCTATGTGTAAGCATGTGTACACATGGTGTCAGGGAGTGTGTGCATTTGTATGTGTCTGTGTGTGCACACGGTGTCTAGGCATGAGTATGTGTGTATGTAAGCGTGTGCACACGGGGCTCAGGGAGAGTGTGTGTCTGCGTGTGCACACGGTGTCAGGGAGCGTATGAGTACGTGTCTGCGTGTGAGTGTGCGTGCGTGTCTGTGCACACGGTGTCTGGGTGCATGCATGTGTGTTTGCCCTGCTTCTACGGTTTTCAGAACCAATTCTAACATGGGTATCACCGAGCAGATGTGTCCTAATGGGACACCGCACACATCGCACTTCCTGACCATCCCTCCCACTGAAGTCCACAGAGAGGAGCTGGATTTTCCTGGACACTCAAGTGAAAAGGGGTGGACTCAACATGCACGCACAGCCGCCCACTCACTCACACACTTGGACAGCGTGGAGGCTGCCACCTACCCTCCCGTTGACGCTGGGGGACGAGTCAATCATGTCGATTCCTGAGGACTCTGGGAGGACCTGCCCGTTGCAGATGACATGGGGCACATAGACGTGGCCTTCGATGCAGCACTCCTTGAACTCCATGTTGTTCTCCGTGAGGGTGCCGGTCTTGTCCGTGAAGATGTACTCCACCTGCGGGCAGGGCACAGCAAGTCAGGACGCTCTGAGGGAGGCCCGCGCGTCTCCGAGCCAGACACTCAGCGGCTGTTTCCTCCCCAGCTCCCACTGCGACTTGAATAGGCGGTGGATTGCTAAAGGTTTTCCCCCAGACAGACCCCCTCACCGGGCCAAGCCACACTCCCGCCCCATCCTTCTTCCCAGCATCCAGCAGGACCCAGCAGTCCTGGCAGGTGCAATTCAGGACGGGTGGGGAGGCCTTGGGGCACCTTCTCTGGGTTGGGAGCAAAACAGACAAAACAGAGTGTGGTCTCACAGTCACATTCCCCGGAAGGAGACACGGGTGGGGCCAGGGCTCCATTTGTTTGGGAAGACAGAGTGTGAGTGGGTCATCCCGAACCGTACTTAACAACAATAAAAACCAAGGCTACGGAGAGGACGAACTTACTCTATCTAAAGTCTCGGAGGTCAAAACCCACAATGCCATGTAAGGTTGAGAAGGTAAAATTCAAGCGAATGAGGACAAAACAAACCTCGGAGAAAATTGTGATATGTGTTAAAGATACAACCCGTCTTAACCTCTGATTTTAGATAAGCTCACGGGTCACACGTTTATCGTGAATAACTGAAGGTGGGAATTCTGGAACAGCGGCAGTATCTCGAGACTGAGTTCGGGCGTGCCCATGAGGATGCCTCTTTCCCAAGCACTTTTGGACAATGGATATTCAACCTGTGTACACTTCTTACACAGGATTTTGAAGTAACTTAGAATAAACTCTTATTCAATTTCAAAAGTAATTTTATTTTTATTTATTTTTTTGAGATGGAGTCTCACCCTGTCGCCCAAGCTGGAGTGCAGTGGTGTGATCTCGGCTCACTGCAACCTCCGCTTCCCAGGTTCAAGCAATTCTCCTGCCTTAGCCTCCCAAGTAGCTGGGATTACAGGCACGTGCCACCACGCCTGGCTAATTTCTGTAATTTTAGTAGAGATGGGGTTTCTCCATGTTGGCCAGGCTGGTGTTGAACTCCTGACCTCAAGCGATCCACCCACCCCGGCCTCCCAAAGTGCTGGGATTACAGGCGTGAGCCACCACGCCCGGCCCTAAAAACATTTTTAAAAAGGTAAAATGGATAAGAACGAAACAACAAATGTTAAGAGGTTTTGGGTTATCCTCCTGTTGAGCTTAACATTTGTTGTTCTTATCCACTCAGTGTCCAGCCACTGGGCAGCGCCTCATTTAATCTTCAACTGACGAATGCATCAACCGTGTTATTATCCCAGTTTCAAGAACGTGGAAACAAAAGCTTGAAATCTCTGGACACAAATCCAGTCAGTTCTGTTAGCTCAGGACAAGGAGATAAGATTGTTTGCTTTGTTAATATTAAACAAGTTTGTGAAAGTCTTTGATTTCTTTTTCAAATAGTTTGTTGTTTGGTATATAGACTCACTACTGACTTTGGGGTGATTTTGTATCCTGCAAATTTAGCAAATTTGTTGATTAGTTCTAAAAGCTTTTTGGTGGCATCTTTAGGCTTTTCTATATATAAGATTGTGTCATCAGCAAACAATTTCACTTCTTCCTTTCCTATACGAATGCCTTTTATTTCTTTTTCTTGCCTCATTACTCTGGCTAGAGCTTCCAGCGCTATGCTGAACAGAAGGGGTGAATGTGGCCAGCCTTGTCTTCTTTCTAATCTTAGAGGAAAAGCTTTCACCTTTTCTCCATTGTGTGTGAAGACAAGCTTTCAGCTTTTCTCCAATGCCAGCTGTGGGTTTCTCATCTATGGCCTTTATTGTACTGAGGTACATTCCTCTACACCTAATTTGTTGAGAGATGTTATCATGAAAGGATGCTGAATTTTGTTGAATGCCTTTTCTGTATCACGGATAATCATACGGTTTTGTCCTTCATTTTGCTGACGTAATGCACCACACTTACTGATTTGCACACACATCGAGCCACCCTTGCATCTCACAGGTGGTGCATGATCCTTTTGTGTGCTGCTGAATTGGTTTGCTAGTGTTTTGCTGAGGATTTTTACAACTTTGTTCATTGGGGTCCTGGCCTGCAATTTTCTTTTCTGGTGGTGGGACAGTCAACCCTAAACCCGGTGCTGGTCAATGCTGCCATCACCCTCAGCTCCCAGAACAAAAGACGGCCCTCACTGCAATGCATGCCTGCCTGCTCAACTCGGCCTGAGGCAGGATGTGTGTTCCAAGGCACTCGTGCTCGGCAGGCAACACTGCCTGGTAGAATAGGGCACTGTCTGCTCCTGACTCGGTTTCTCGTCTGAGAAACAGGGCAATGGCACTGAGCACACAGGACACAGAGAAGGTGCACAAAGTGCTGGGCACAGGATCTCCACGGGACAGAGGCAATGGCACTGAGCACACAGGACACAGAGAAGGTACACAGAGTACACACAGGACACAGAGAAGGTGCACAAAGTACACACAGGACACAGAGAAGGTGCACAAAGCACTTCTGGCACAGGATCTCCATGGGAGATGGTTGTTTTCGTCGTAGACAGACACTTGAGTGGTGGATGAATCTCTATTTCACATGCAAAAGAAGTTGTGTTATCATACTGCACATCGACGGTGGGCACGGGCGTTTACCCACGGAGCTGCGGTCAGATGAACCTGCCTTTTGGGCTTGTCCACCTGTCTTGACCTCAGTGTGTCCCCCGTGAGCAACAGTACACACTTCTCTGTGTCCAGGGAGGTCAGCCTCCAGGCTGGAGCCTGGTTTTGGTCAGGAAAGAATGACAGAAATCATATTCTGTTTTGCTGGACTCCAGACAGACAGAAGGAGGAGGGCAGAGAAGAAATCTGCCGCACTCAACACTGCTGGGCACTTTCCTTGCTACAGAAAAAAGTTCTTTCCCAATGAATTTATCAGAAGCTCACAAAATGTACCATCTATTGTTGAAAAGGAGATAGAATATTCCTAGGTAAAAGCACCTGACTACAGAGCAACTAAATCAGCATCTGCACATTGCTGACTGAGAGAACACACCACTGTGAGGAGTATGGGACATGCTGGACGAACACACTGAAAATTGAAACTCATCAAACGCAAAACATGATCCTTCCGTTTGTCCACCTTCCTCACAGGAGGCAGACAGAGGCCTCTGTATCTGCCGGAGTCAAAGTCTATTTACAGGCTGTCATCTGGGAGGGAGATGGAGATTTCAGCTACCGGTCTATAAAGTAGCCTTGTTTGCTAAAATACCCCTCAAAATCACTTTCTATTTCTTCTGAAAAGACCAATTACCCTTTCCCGGTACCTGCTCTGGCAACCCTGCACTCTGCAACGTTAAGGCTGGGAAGGAGGGAAGATCACCGCTTTAGGCTGGGGACACCCAGGGAATGAGTCTTTCCCTAGCTCCCTTCCCAAGCCAGCAGGCCTAGTGTGTGCCTCCCGGTGGTGCGGCGGCAGGGCGGCGGTCGCACCAGACTCTGCGCTGTGCACCTTGTGTCCATGATCTCATTTCATCAACACCCCAATCCTGTAAGGCCAGCATCTGTTATCATCCCCATTTCACAGATTGAGACTCGAGGTGTGGCAGTGAAGCCCAAGCTCCCGCAGCCATCACGCAGCAGCAGGATCTGAACGGAGGCGTCTGAACTCTCTGCAATCAACCAAGTCACTGAAAGTCTGGCTTACTCATCTTTAAAGCTTGCTATGAGACTTGAATATCAGGTGCAGAAGCAGAGTGCAAGGCTGGCAAAGCCACTTTTACCCACCAGCCTTGATTCACATCTGCACCCAGAAAGGGTTCTGCCCAGGAAGCTCCAGATGAGTTTCCAGGAGTCGGCGAGTGCAGGTATTGTAATTCTGTAATTCTGCATCTGTTGTAAATATAACAATATAACAGCCCTGCTGATTGTTTCATACATAGGGTTCAAAACAACCCTGCTGCCATCTTACCCCAGCTCCAGGGACAGCCACGCTCAGACGACAGGCATAGGACCTGAGGCACGTGAAGCAGACTCACCCAGAAGCCAATAAATCACAGCAGAGGACGCAGGAGACACCAACCTGTCCCAGCTCTTCGTTGAGGTCCGATGTGTTCACCAGAGGCCCCTCGCCAGTCTCCTCATCAAACATGTCCTCATCCCAGGTGATGAAGTAAGAGCCGAGGAACTTCTGCATCTCGACCGTGACGTACATGGACACGGGGATGATGTAGTTAAAGAGGACCATGAAGGCCAGGAAGTCCGTGAACGCCCTGAGGAACTGCGAGAGCAGAAGGTGCGGGTCAGCGCCTCCACCAGGAGGGACAGCAGGGCTCCAGCACGCTGCTCTAACACCTCAGGCTTAGACATAAGTTATACGAGTGCTACTACTAAATACAAGATTTCAGAGTCCAAAGACAAGGACGATGGGTGGGGGGCAGCCATTGGGTCACCTGGTCTCTGCACCAGGACCCGCTGGGTCCAGGGGCTGAGCTGCAGGGCTGCCCTGCCAGCAAGTAGAGATTAAATCACGAGTTAAGACAAACACGTGCCGGTGACAGGAGATATGTCCACCAGACACCTGCGGCAATTTTACTTCCGCATATTCACAGGATCTCTTTGAGTCTCTTACAATCAAACTTACTTAGTAATAACCTACAGATGTAAAAACTAAGCCTGGTGAAATGACTTTTCAGTATATTTTTATCCTGATCTGTGGGGTCATGTTAGTTTTGTGGGAGGGACAGATGATGCAGATAGCCCCGCTCTGGACGGAGGGGACACGGGTCTGGGTTTGCACACGGCCCTGCTCTAGGCTCAGTGGACAGGATCTGGGTTTGCATATGGCTCTGCTCTAGGCTCAGTCAACACAAGTCTGGGTTTGCACACGGCCCTGCTCTAGGCTCAGTGGACAGGATCTGGGTTTGCATACGGCTCTGCTCTAGGCTCAGTCAACACAAGTCTGGGTTTGTACACGGCCCTGCTCTAGGCTCAGTGGACAGGATCTGGGTTTGAATACAGCTCTGCTCTAGGCTCAGTCAACACAAGTCTGGGTTTGCATACGGCCCCGCTCTAGGCTCAGTGGACAGGGTCTGGGTTTGCACACAGCCCTGCTCTGGACTGGGAGTAGACCTTTTTTCCAAGTATTTACCACAAATATGTGCCATTTATCTCATAATCATTAACAAGCATTTACTCAGCACCCTCTAAACAAAGGACACAGTGCAAGTATTTAAGGCACCGTCCTGATGATTTCACTGTGGGAACCTCTACCTTTCCAGATCCAAAGAAGGCAGGAGCAGCTGGTGTCCACTGAGACTTTAAATTTCAGTGAATGTATCTATCACAGAGATTGAATCAATCAAGGCTGCTTTTTGCCTACAGTAAATTCACTCTCATCTTTCTTCTTGCACCACATTTTCGTAATAATGGCCCACAGGTCACCTCGGATCATACAAGGGCAGTGATTGTCCATACCAGATTCCTCTGTCTTTCCGACTCCGTTTTCTGATTATACCACGGCTCATCCCGAAAGGGCTCGCTCTGCCACACGTATTTCAGCACAGTGTTTATCAGGGCTTTGCTGATCAGAATGCAGAGGTACACGATGAGGAACGCATTCATCGATCTAAAACAAAAGGACAGAGGTGATCACTGGTCCCCGAGGAAATGAGCTCTGCACTTTGAAGAAACAGAACAGGAACGGCACGGTGATGCGTTTGCCCTCAACGCACCATGGTGGGTCCTCTGTACCTGTGCCCATGCCATGGTCCCTGGCACATACTCCTAGAGGCCAAAGGTAAGAGCCAAGAGGGGGAAAAGTGCCACAAGCAGGAGAGAGAGAGGGCTGCTCACAGCCACACTGCACACTGTGGACAATGCTTCTGCACTCTCTGGACTTCCGTCGTTGAAAAGAACATCCAGAAATCAATTTCTACCATTAAGCATCAACAAATTAGTTCAAAACTTAGTGACTAACCACCACTGTAAAGGAAGGAAGGAAAGGAAAGGGAAAGGAAAGAGGAAGGAAGAGAGGGAGGGAGAAAAGGAGGGCAAGGAAAAGTAAGTAACTCTGAAAGGAAGTGTCCTCAGTACAGGAAAAGCACAGATCCTTAACTAAGGTTTTAGCAGATCTCAGGAAGAAGCCTTTCTTTTCCAGTACAAATCCAGCTACCATCCTGACGTATTTATCATCAGGACTTTAATGAAAAGATGACTCTGTTCGCTCTTCGTAAAACCATAGCAGAGAATGCATGGTTTCGACCAAATTCGAGAGTTAAAACTAAGCCCATTTGGAGTTTTTCATGAAATGGTGGGAGGAGCTGTTGGACACTGGACCTGCCATGAACCTGGTATCAGGCGTTAGAAAGCGCAGGAAGGAGGGGTGTGGCCGTCCACCTCACCACAAAATAAGAAAGTCCCTCTGAATGGTCAGCTCTGCAGTTACTAAGATGCTGTATATTGGTAAAGGAACCTCCAATAAGGCCAAGAGGAAGCTATTTCCATCACGCGCGTCCAGCAACGGGGCGGGGAGCCTTACTTTTCCACGGCAGATCGCTTCTGGGATTTCGATTGGTAATTTAATGCCATCTTGGTTTCCATGCCCGTGTAAATAGCCACACCTACATGGAGAGGAAAAGCGAGCGTGACGACCAAGGCACAAGGGTGTCTTGCCTTATGGTGAGTTACACACAGCTGCGGGGAAAACCAATTCTTGGGTAAAGTGAATCCTATTTTTAATTTCACAAACTAGTGTCCATAGTCACGTAACACTAGCACTTGATTCCTTAGGATAAAGGCCTTTCTTCATGCGTAGGAAGCAATCTATGCTTCATTTTTCAAGAGTTCCCGTCTTAATATACACCGGGCCCGCCATATCCACGAGTTCTAAATCTGCAGGTTCTACCAACTGGGGACGGAAAAGATGTGAAAAAAATCCCCAATAAAAATAATACAATGATACAAAATACAGATGATAAAAACAGTAGAGTGTAACTACGTGCCTAGCGTTCACACTGTGCCAGGTATTAGAAGTGATCTAAGGTGATGTGAGCTACAGGGGTGGACATGCGTACGCTACATGCTAATAGGGGCCTTGGCATCCATGGATTTTGACATCTGCAGGCGTCCTGGAACCAGTCCCCCAAGGACACTGAGGGACAGCTGCACAGCATTTTCTGACAGTGGGGCACACAAAAGTTACCTCGACTAAAACAGACGATAACCTACAAGAAATGGGAGATCCTAGCCAAGAAATGCAGACATGAAAGAAATTTCCCGCACAACTAAATTTCATAAATTCCTTCAGGGATGCAACTTTCTGTTTCTGAACCCAAAACTAGAGGCCTTAATCCGTAAGCCGTAATCTCTGACGCTGCTGCCTCAGGACCGCACTTACTCACTGATCCGAATCTCAGTGGGACGGAACTTGCGCGGCCAGAAAGCCTCCAGCACCTCAAGGCGCCAAGAAACGCTCTCAGGGTTCTGCGGCGGGTTTTAACTTTGCTTCATGCATCGTTGATGTTACAGGCAATGGTGAATAATTAATTAAATATTTACCAAAGATTTTCTCGGTGTTCTTCAGTGTAGCTCCTCTCAGCAGCAAGTTTTCCGATCCTAAGGGCCTGTAAAGACACGATCATCAGAAATGACACAGACACGAAGGCAAACGGGCAGGGTGGGGGCAAGATGCAGATGCGAAACCCGCTCGTTTGCTCAGCAGATCTCATTTTCCGAGGAGATGGCGTACACGGCGGTTTGCTTATATTCAGATGATTAAGTCAATCCAGGTGCATGTGAACACATGCAGTCTTATCTTTGCGGGGGACGAACACATGGCTCCAGGAGTAGTGGCAAGGGCCTCCTGGCAGTGCTTGTGGAACGCAGGACCTCAGGCCCCGCCCAGACCCACTGAGCTGCGCCCGACAGCCTCAGCAACACTCCCCAGAGACCTCTAGAGCAGGGGTCCCTGCGGTGGCCCCACTAGTGCCGTCAGCAGCACCTGCAGCCAGTCAGGAACATCATACTAGTCAGGAAGATCGTCCGAAGCCGTGAGAACCTGAAACCCTGGGGTGGGGCCCAGCAGCCCTCTCCTAACAAGCCTCAGGTTGAGAACAGCTGCACTGGAAGGTCCCAGAATGTTCTGGAAAGGCTAAAGAGGGGTGGATGTGAAATAAAATAAAAGTTACTCAACCGTCAACTGTTTCCTTTTTCTTTTTTTTTTTTTTTTTTTTGAGACAGGGTCTCACTCTGTCACCTAGGGTGGGGGCACGATCACAGCTCATTGCAGCCTTGACCTCCTGGGCTCAGGTGATCCGTGTGCTTTGGCCTCCCAAAGTGCTGAGATTACAGTTGGCCATCCCCATGTCCAGCCTCAATCGTTTCTATTACACCCTCAGTGAGATTCGGGGAGTCCCATGTGGCACAGTCTTACTCCTAGAGACAAAGGCTGACACTCTATCTGGCCATTAGAAACACTGGTCGCCACGCTGCAAAGCTCCTCGGAATGGGAGGACCTATAAATCAGGGACAGTCCATGCATGGCTACTTTGGGGGAAAACAAGTAATAGCCAAAGAACGTAAAAATCTCACACATGGAGGAACAAGCCCCGCTCCGCGCACTGAAGCCACGGTGAGCAGCAGCGGGGTCTCTGCCACCAGGGGCTTATATCTTGATATAACAGGGTTCCCTGCTGATGGAAAAATAATCTCTTCTCATTTCCTAAGTAGTAAAGGAGAAATAGGCAGCAAGATTCAAATTTAAAATTTTTGCTATTGGCAACATCCAAAGGATTGCTTCGGAGGGTAAAGGGTCAAAAGTGTTTGCTGAAGTTTGCTTTCCATTTGTCATTGTATTTACTGTCCTTCTATCACGGAAAGTTAAGAACCTACTGAATATTACGAACGTAAAATGCATGGAGTATATCTGGTCGACAGACCTCAGAACTGCATCCGGCTGAAGACAGGCAGAGTGGAGCTGCCCAGAGGGAGAGGTGTCTGCCCCTGGCTGTGGCTGAGGGCTCCACGCACCGCCTCGCCCGGCAGTCACTAAAGATGGAGCTCCCAGGCTGCATATGGGTTGTCTGGTTGTGTTATAAGGATTGTCAGCTTCTGTTTGCAACACACTTATAATAATTCCTGTCAAGTGTTTATGAAAACAAACAGCTTTTTAAAAAAGCTGACTCAGGGAAGTGTAAAAATAATTTACTTGGAAAAGTACTTTGCTTCTAGTTAGGACAGAAGGAAGAAGAAACGTCACTCTGGATGGATTGAGAATTTGGGTGTGTAATTCTTAACTGTCCACATCACAAATTTACAAACATCTTCAATAATCTAAATATTAAAAGTCCATTGAATAGCATAAATATTTAAAAGTGAAACTAGGCCAGGTACAGTGGGTGGCTCATGCCATAATCCCAGTACTCTGGGAGGCCAAGGTGGGTGGATCACCTGAGGCCAGAAGTTTTGAGACTAGCTTGGGCAACATGGCAAAACCCCGTCTCTACTAAAAATTACAAAAATTAGTTGGGCATGGTGGCACACGGCTGTAATCCCAGCTACTTGGGAAGCTGAGGCAGAAGAATTGCTTGAACCTGGGAGGCGGAGGCTGCAGTGAGCTGAGATAGTGCCACTGTACTCCAGACTGGTGACAGACTGGAGTAGAGTGAGACTCTCTCTCTAATAAAATAAATAAAATAAAATAAAAGTGAAACTAGAGTTAGTATCAAAATGCAAAATACATTAGCAATTATCATCCCAAGTTGCTCAGCAATAAACTTAGTCTAACTATAAAGATAAAAAGCCTGCAATTTTTACTATTTTGGATTCATCCCATAGGGAATATGAATAAACCCAAGTCTGTTTACTCATTCAAATACAAATTAATTCTCATGGCACACAGAAATACAAGTTATTTCTCCAAGGTAAGAAGGAATTTACCTTTAGAACAGTATATATTTAGGCAAACCAAGGCATAGCCACTATCAATTCTCAAAAGCACCTCCCAGCCTGCTGATGGGTAACGATGACAAACACATGCTAAGAATAAGAAGTGCACACATGGTTTTCTTAAAACAGTAACTCCAGGAGACTTACAAGGAGCTAAGCCCCAGGGACGTGCATTTCAGGAACTATTCACTTTGCAATAGTTTCCCGGTGAGTGTCTTTCTGTGTTTGGGAGATGTGTTGTTTAACACTCAATGCTGTACCTACGGAGACATCAACAACTTGGAGAGTGCTTACAATGGAAGAAAAATCATTTCCCTAACAAGTGGAGTTTATGAAGAAGATGCAACTTTAAAACCTAGTGAAAGCCAATTCCCTCAACTATGACATTCAAATATTTCATCAGCAACAAATGCTAGATCTTGAAATAATGTCAGAGAAAACATCCCCAGGCCTGGGAGCTGGGCGCTGCCCGGAGCTGGGCTCAGCACAGGCTGGCTCTCAGCTGAGGCTGCCTCGGGGCCATAGATGAGGTGTCTGAGGGTCGCTGTTTCCTTGTGGGTATGCGGTGTGACTGCCCCTGAGTCCACGCTGGTGAACGGGAAGGCAGAGCCGCCGACTGTGAGCTGCCCCCGGACTTGTCCCAGTTACCAATTCCACCTTCTCAGGTAGGTGTGAGCCTCACATAGGCCTTGAGCCAGTAATGCACCCCAGTAATGATGGTAAGTGGATGAACAGACTCCCCAAAACGGCCTCAAAATTAGAAGTCTTTCAACTTCACATCTGAAGACAAATCAGTACCCGAATCATGAGAGGGCATTTCTCACAGGGAAGCTGTACTCTGCCCTTCACTATGAAACTGTTCCATGGGACCCTGACGCCTCCCGGCCTGTGAGACGACCCTCTGGGCAGAGTCTTGGGCGAACGCTTGTTTCATGAGCATCACTAACGTGTCAACATTCACAGATGTGTGCCTGAGACAAACCAGAGACAAGAGTGGAGCCTGGCCCCATGCGAAAGTGGAGCTCCACCTTCCAAATCCACTGGAGCAGCTGAGTAGAAACCCTCGTCTGTCAAAGAATGCATTTCTAATGCACCAAGGGCGATGACCATGGCCAAGGCATCTGCAGAGGCACTCACCTCACCACGGGGTCGTTCAGGTCACTGTAAACGTTGATGCGGCCCACAAACCTGGTGACAGAAAAGCCACGTTACTGACGGGATGCGCCCAGCAGCCCCCCGGAAATGCGCGCCTGGCCTGCCCGCCTTCCTGTCTCCAGAGGCCGCTGTGAGCAGCGCGTCTTCACCCAGCCTGCTCCACGTGCAGCTAAACCAGCTCCGGTCCAGCCCCTTCCCTTGTCATCCTTTCTGTTCGGATCAGCCCATGGCTTCAGTGATTTTCCTTAACCCACAGTTGACAGATGTCTTTCACAAAATAAAGAAAACTTATTCTTTTTTTCCCCCACAAATATAGTTCCATTAAGTCACTTCAAATATTTGTATAAAAAGCTACAAATCTGAGTGGTACAAGTCTATGAGAATAAATAAGCGATGTATTTTTGACTCAGTCTTAATCTTTAAGCAGTGATTTACATTCTCTCCAAACCACTAGATGGCTGGACTACCTGGGGTGAAAAGCAAGAGCAATGCTGAGGGCATAAAATCCGTTTCTAAAGAACCCGGAGCCCCTGCTTACTTGTAGAGGTCGGGCTGGGGCTGCTCACACTCGATGGTGGCGTGAAGTCCGCCGATATCCTCCTCCGTGTGGAAGCCCTTGGTGTCCTGGACCGCGTAATGCGTCTACAAATGCGCAAGACGTGTGAGCTCACCGCCAAAATGGTCAACACAAACCCAGACACTGCTGCCTCCAACCAAGTGATTACAAAGCCTGGCTGACCCTATGAGTTTGTACACGTTCAACAGTTACAGGAAGATAAGGTACTACTGTTATTCCTGCATCTATTAGGTGCCAGAAAATTCTAATCCTTCCATTCTTACCCAGTGTCCTCAACTTACAACTAACAGGACAGACAGCAATGCTCGAATTCTTCAAGTGTGGACACTGATTTATCTGTCAAAGCAGTAGCCAGTAGCTATTAATTAAGAAACAAATCCAAGACCTGAAATATCCCTTTGCTTTTACAGAATGCCCTGTTGTTTACGGGCAGTGGTCATGGGATCACTTCACTTCATTTTCACTACCTGGCAACAACCTGCCTGTGCCCGTCGCTGTTGGGTGAAATGCCTTCTACTTAACTGTTCACGTGGCCTGGGCCAGGAGACGCCTCAAGCCTGCGTGTGCGTCAGTTTTACCCAGAGCTTCTGAAGCCCCTGATTCCTGGGTTCGGCCCCAGAGTTTCTGATGCAGCGGGGCTAGGGAGAGCTGAGAACTGCACTTCTAAGATGGTGCCCAGTGATGCTAATGCTGCTGGTCTCAGAGCACATTTTGAGGCCTGGTGACCTCAGTAGCATCTGTGAGCACGAGCAGGGGGCTGAGGGCGGACCTGAGGTGGGCATGAGGGCTGCACTGGCCCTGCCTTGGGAGGAGAGAGGAGAAACTTGTGCCCAGGGATCTGGGAAGAGGCAACAGCATCTCTGAATCCCTTCCTGTGTTTCTTTCTAGTGGAAGAGTATTGGACAAATAAAACACAGAAGGAGTCAGAACAAACAAGAGAAACATCACTTCACCATCACCAAATGCACAAATCAGAGGGACACGGTCACCGCTGCGTCACCAAGCACACAAACGGTCACCGCTGCGTCACCAAGCACACAAATGGGGGTCGGGGGTAAATGATCGCCGCTCCATCACCAAGGGCACAAATCAGGGGGCGCTTACTTTCTAAATTCAGTGGGAATTCTCTAACTATATCCTCACAAGAGCCCCTGGGAGATAGGGCTGTCCCCATTTCACAGATGCGAAGAATCCAGATAAGTGAACAAGCCTGTGCAGTCATGTGAGCCCCACAGGATCCCAGTAGAAGTCGGCTGTACCCTTCCCACACCCCTACTCTGCTTTTAAGGAAAGAGCTCAAATAATTCCAGTCCCTTAAGCTAAACAAAATGCACAAAAATGACATTAGAGAACACAAAACCATAATACAAACTGCAAAGCCACAAAAGGTCAAAGTGCACTAGCTATTTTAACATCTTCCACAACTGCTACAACATTTCATCTGGACAAACATGGTACATCTGGAGGCCCACAGCATTTGTTCCCTAGCATGGCTGGGACTCGTCTGAGCCTGACCAGCCACAGTCTGCAGGGAAGGGGTGCAAAGACAGCCACTGGCTGCAGAGTGTGAAGGGCTCACATGGTCTCTGGGTGGACGGAACCTTAACCTCCTCCCAGGTTCCAGAGGGACCAGCAGCCGCTTACAATGAATACCTGAATCATCCAGGGATTCCAACCCCCCAGAAGCTGCTGACAACCTATTATGTTAGTGTGTTCATTCTCTGGGATATGCTACACAGAAAATGTGAAAGCAAATTTAACTGAAAAAAGTCCACAGGTTTTTCAATTCCTGATACATATCATGAATTATCTATGAAAGACTAGCATATCCTTCAGTGATTTCGTAAAGAAAATGTCTCTATCTCATAGTAGAAATGGCTTATACCCACAGGCATTACCTAAATACCATTTTAGAGTTGCACTTTTGTGAGTTCATGACTTAGCTGAATCCACTGAGCTATGCTCACTTTCATAAACTCCTTAGAAACTTCCAGATTTTTTAAATAATAAGAATCTTAAAATTAATGGTGCTGTATCTTTTCTCTTATGATTGACAATTAAAATTCTTGCAGCATCAACTGCCTGTGCAGAATTTTATACTGAGTGCGGGAAATTACTTATGTAGTAATTTCAGAAAATCTTGATTAAAATCCTGATTACATTCACAAAAATGACACTCAGTGAAGTAACAGGCAAAATCTAGAATTGTGTGTGACTTATCACATAATTCTAGGCCAGTTTTCACATTAATTTTAACTAGTAGAAAGAAAATTCTTAAAATTCCAACAATCTATTCATTAAATCCTGAATTTGACACATTAGCTAACTGACACAGGCTAACACTGAAGTTATTTCTGTTAACCTGAGGTGATTGGTTGTTACAGACATTGAGAGTGGAAAGAAAAAGTGGGAAAGAAATGGGGAGGTGTAAGTCAAAGAACACAAGGTAGAAATATTTAGGATGAACCATCTAAAGACCCAACGTACAACATGAGGACTAGAGCTGACAAGAGTGTGTTGGGCTCTGGGTTTTTGCTGCACTGACTGGACAAGAGCATGTTGGGCTCAGAGTTTTGCCGCATCGAGTAGGTTATGGCTGTTCCTGCACGGGTGCCAGGGAAGAGAGTGGGAAACCATGTGAGATGTGGATGTGTTAATTTGTTGAACTCGAATAACAATTTTTCTATAAAAATATGTATCTTATAACATCATAATATATGCCTCAAATATACACAATACAATTTATTTTGAAAAAGGAAAAAGAAGAAAGTGGAAAATAGGAGGAAGGAAAAGTGAGGAAAAACTTGGCTGGCATAACTCCCTAGGTTTTCATTGTACACACCGAAAACGCTGACTTTTCAAACAGGATGTTTCTGTGGCCACACAGGCATAGTCTGAAGCACGACAGGAAGACCCTGCCCTGGAGTCTAACGGAAAGGGCCCTTACTTTATGGCTGGATTCTCCGTCCAAGCTGGCGGTGGTGACGTGGCACGTCCCGTCTCCCCGGTTGCTGGAAAGGAAGATCAAGTCACAGGGAAAGGTCTCATCCTCCTTGACCATGACAATGTCCCCAACCTACAGGACAAAGCAGAAAGGACGGTCAATGGAAAGTCCCTCCGTGAAAGCTCGCCCGTCGTGTGGGACTGCTTCCCTCAAGCTGCTCATCTAGTCACAGGTAGATACGGGGATGTGGACGTGGTTCCAGGAAAAGACTCTTGCCAGACATTCTGCTGGGACCAAGGAAAGACCAGGTCAGGTTTCAATGTTCTAACTGCAGATCAAAGAAGTAGCAAAGTACAGCACGATTGAATATTCCGCAGCAAAAACACAGACAAATGCCTGTAACAAGGTTGTCTTTGATTCAGACCAACGAAGACGAGTTGGAGTGTTCCATGAGCATGGCCAAGTGGGAAGTACTCCTGGGAGAAGCTCTGATCTAAATCTAGGCATTTTATGAACCAGGTCCTTGAGTTCTGAGAGTTTCCCCATCAACAGAACCAAGGCACTGCCCAGATCATCAAAGCATGAGGACAAATAAAGTAAAAGTGGCAACAACGTTTCAAAAACTAATGTAAAAATCAATCACAGAAAGTTCATCATGTGGGTTTTTAATGAAAGGTTATGGTCTAGTTTGTATCTGTATCCATTTTACTTCATCAGGGAGGAAGGTATCTCAGTGGTTTGGGCTGTGTGTCTGGAGGGTGAGGAAGGCATCGCAGTGGCCTGGGCTGTGTGTCTGGAGGGTGAGGAAGGCATCGCAGTGGCCTGGGCTGTGTGTCTGGAGGGTAGTGAAGCCTGGTGGCCTGGGAGGCTGTATCTGGGCGAGGAGTCTAGAAGAGGCAAGGGTGAGGAAGGCATCGCAGTGGCCTGGGCTGTGTGTCTGGAGGGTCTGGAAGGCATCGCAGTGGCCTGGGCTGTGTGTCTGGAGGGTGAGGAAGGCATTGCAGATCTTGGCTGTGTGTCTGAAGGGTGAACGATCATCAGAACCCTCAAGTGAGTGGCTGCAGGGCTCCAGCCAGTTTCACTGCCACTCAGGAGGCATGCCAGGATCGAGGCGTCACCATGCTTCTGTCTACACTGCAAACAGAGTTCTCTGTACCACTACGTGATGGTCATAGCACACCGCGAATTTGTGAGACTTTAAAAGCAGAGGTTACTCTTCCCAAATGGACCTATGGGTTTAGTAAAATCCCTATGGAAATCCCAGCAAGGATGCTTAGAGACATAAATGAACTAATTGTAAAATTTACATGGGAAGGCACAGGCTCTGGATTAGCTAAAACAACCTTGAAAAAGAAGACTGAGAAGGAATGAATCCGTATCCCTGATACGGGGCTTCTGAGATAGCTACAGTGACCAGCGGTGTGGGATTGGTGGGGCATGGGGACGGAGACCAATGGGACAGACCAGGGAACCAGAAACAGACCCACGCAAATGTGTTTAACTGATCATGACAGAAGGCAAGGGCCACTCCGTGGAGGAGGGACAACCGGCCAACCCCTGGTGCAGGGGCGATCGGACAGCCACAGGCTAAATAAGGACATAAACAAACCTGACTGAAACCTCACACCTTATACAAAAATCATCTCAAAATTGATCATGAACTAAAATGTAAAACATGAAACTATAACACTTAGAAAGAAACATGGGAGAAAGTCTTTGGGTCTCAGGACCAGGCAAAGAATGCTTCATTCAGGTCACTGAATGTAAAGTCTGCAAAAGAAAAAAAAAAAAAAAAAAACAACTCGGCTGGGCGCAGTGGCTCACTCCTGTAATCCCAGCACTTTGGGAGGCCGAGGCAGGCGGATCACTCAAGGCCAGGAGTTCGAGACCAGCCTGGGCAAAATGATGAAATGCCATCTCTACTAACACTAAAAAATTAGACAAGCATGGTGGTATACACCTGTAATCCCAGTTACTTGGGAGGCTGAGGCAGGAGAATAGCTTGAACCTGGGAGGTGGAGGTGGCAGTGGGCCGAGATGACGCCATTGCACTCCAGCCTGGGCAACAAGAGCAAGACTCTGTCTCAAAAGAAATAATAATTTTAAAAAAAGAAAAAAAAATCAAGAAATTGGACTTGAACAAAGTTAAAAATGTTGGCTTTGTGAAATATCCTGCTGAGTGTTCAAAATCATATGCCTGACTATCTAGACTATATGACCTCTCAACATGTAACAGTAAAAAGCTCAAATAATCCAGCTAGAAAAATGGGTAAAAGACATGAACAGTTACTTATTTTTGTTTTATTTTATTTTTTTGAGACGGAGTCTCGCTCTGTCACCCAGGCTGGAGTGCAGTGGCGCGATCTCGGTTCACTACAAGCTCTGCCTCCCGGGTTCATGCCATTCTCCTGCCTCAGCCTCCCGAGTAGCTGGGACTACAGGTGCCTGCCACCACGCCGGCTGATTTTTTGTACTTTTAGTAGAGACGGGGTTTCACCGTGTCAGCCAGGATAGTCTCAATCTCCTGACCTCGTGATCCGCCCGCCTCGGCCTCCCAAAGTGCTGGGATTACAGGCGTGAGCCACCGCGCCCGGCCAGGACATGAAGAGTTGTTTTTACTGACGAGGATACACAGATGTCAAACAAGCACGAAAAGATGTCCCACAGAGCCATTGGGGACACGTTTAAGCTGCACCGAGACATCAGGAACAGCAGTAACACCCAGGGCTGGGGAAGATGCTGGCAATGTTGTGGGTGGGAATGAAATGGGATAGCCATGCTGGAAAACGGTTTGGCAGTTCCTTTCAAAACCAAACGTAGATATGCTAGATGACCCAGCAATTGAACTCTTCAGCTTTTTTTTTTTTTTTTTTTGAGACGGAGTCTCGCTCTGTAGCCCAGGCTGGAGTGCAGTGGCCGGATCTCAGCTCACTGCAAGCTCCGCCTCCCGGGCTTACGCCATTCTCCAGCCTCAGCCTCCCAAGTAGCTGGGACTACAGGCGCCCGCCACCTTGCCCGGCTAGGTTTTTTTTGTATTTTTTAGTAGAGATGGGGTTTCACCGTATTATCCAGGATGGTCTCGATCTCTTGACCTCGTGATCCGCCCGTCTCGGCCTCCCAAAGTGCTGGGATTACAGGCTTGAGCCACCGAGCCCGGCCGAACTCTTGAGCTTTTATGTCAAAGAAATGAAAACTAAATTCACAAGAAAACCTGCACACAAATACTCATAGCAGCTTTCTTGATAACAGCCCTAAACTAGAAAGGTCGAACAGCCCTTCAGCTTGTGCGTGGTGAAACTGTGGTATATGCCCACATCACGGAATGCTCCTTAGCAAGACAAGGGAAGCAAGGGCTGGTGCACGGACTTCGTGAATCCCGAGGGAATTAGACTGCCTGAAAACAGACAACCCCAAAGGGTCCCAGGCTGCAGGATTCTCTTTATACCACATCCTTGAAATGACAAAATCTTCGAGCTGGGCAACACATCAGGGCAAAGGGAACACAGGATGCCTCTGTTTTATTTCTTACAACTGCATGTGACTCTGTAATTACCTTGAAATAAAAAGTTTAATTAAAAAAGAAAAACTAATTAAAGGAATGCTTTTCTAGGACGCTCTAGTACCCTCAAAGGCCTGAGCCATTACGACGAATGGAAGCCAGATGTCTGCCGTTGCAGGAAAAGCCTGATCTTTTCTTTCTTGTCCTGAGTAGCCTGTTTAGCATCCTCTCAGTTACAACACACAGGATACAAGAAGGCATTTCTCACAGGAGACCGATGCATTAAAAATTCAATTTTCTGCGGGCAAACACTGTTTAGGTCTATTTTTTAAGAAAGATGTTTAGCTACAAGTATGAAAGGCTTTGCAAGGGAAATATAATCATTAAAGGAAATGGCGTTGAAGGCCTGGAACCGGACGCCTGCTGACACAGGCATGGAGTTCGTGGCTGTTCCCCAGGCCGGGGCCATCTGCTCTGTGAACCCCTGACCCCTAGGGAAACCTCACTCACCTGAACTCACTGATGGAAAAAGCTGTCTCAGAAGCATTTAAATACCAGAATAGCACATTTATAAGTGAAAATGTGTTTTTTTTGTTTGTTTGTTTTTTGTTTTTGAGACGGAGTCTCGCTCTGTCGCCTGGGCTGGAGTGCAGTGGCCGGATCTCCGCTCACTGCAAGCTCCGCCTCCTGGGTTTACGCCATTCTCCTGCCTCAGCCTCCTGAGTAGCTGGGACTACAGGCGCCCGCCACCTCGCCCGGCTAGTTTTTTGTATTTTTTAGTAGAGACGGGGTTTCACTGTGTTAGCCAGGATGGTCTCGATCTCTTGACCTCGTGATCCGCTCGTCTCGGCCTCCCAAAGTGCTGGGATTACAGGCTTGAGCCACCGCGCCCGGCCAAGTGAAAATGTTTAAACGCTTATAAGTACATTTGGTGATGTGTGTGATACACAGAACAGTGAGAGCAAGGTGAGGCAGGGGGCTAGTGGTGGATGCCAGCTCCTCTGAAGGGCCTCTGAACGCCTCCGAGGTCCCATCCCACTGGACAGGGAGGGGCTGCGGCCTTGTCCGGAGAAGCTCACTGAGCCCAGGCTGGCAGGGCTGCTTGGAGGTCCTCCTTCCTCCAGGCTTCTGGAACGCATCTGGCTCTCCACATGCACGGGACCCAGTGGGGTGCTCCCTGCCTCCCTCACCAAACCTCCTAAGCCTCGGCAGAGAAAACAGCCAGGCGAAGCAGTGGGGCTGCAGGAGGGAGGGAGGCGTGGGAGTTGGCAAGAGCCAGGCAGGGTGCACGAGGACCAGCGGGGGCAGGAAGGGGCCGGCGTGGGCCTGGCACCTAGATCCACCTCAGATGGGGGACTGGAGCAGGCTGCTGACCGCTACCTCGACACAAACGTGAAAAACCACACTCATGGTTTCTACCTATACAGGTGCTTCCAAATGACTAGTACAAGTTTGAAAATATCTCATTTAAATAATTTAAACACATATTTTAAAATATATTGAGCTATTAGTTACATGAATAATTCATTTGAAACAGATTTAAAATGCAGCCTTCAAGAAGAACTGTAATAATCCCAACACAAAGAAACAATCAATGTTTGAGGTGATGGACATCCCAGTTAACCCAACTTCATCATTAAACATTGGTGTGCGGGCATCAAAATATCACATGGACCCCCAACTATGTACAACTATTATATATCAACAAAAAATAAATTTTTTGGCCGGGTGCGGTGGCTCATGCCTGTAATCCCAGCACTTTGGGAGGCCAAGGTGGGAGGATCACGAGGTCAGGAGATCGAGACCAGCCTGGCCAACATTTTGTTAAGACCCCGTCTCTACTAAAAATGCAAAAATTAGCCGGGCGTGGTGGCAGGCACCTGTAATCCCAGCTACTGGGGAGGCTGAGACAGAAGAATCGCTTGAACCCGGGGGTGGAGGTTGCAGTGAGCTGAGGTTGTACCACTGCACTCCAGCCTGGGTGACACAGCAAAACTCTGTCTCTAAAAAAATAAATAAATACATTTTTAAAAAATGCAATCTTCAATGAGGTATTCTGCTCCAATTTTCATAAATTTCCACCTAGTCGAGTTTATATTGATATGATTTTATTATACTTTATTCTAACACAAATTTTAGAAACGGTGTTTCCAACCTTTCCTTGCCTTGATTGGTTCATGTGTTCCCATAATGATTTTAAATTCCACCAATCCTGGTGTGGGATGCTGGCAGAGGGGAGGCTGTGGTGTGTGTGTGTGCGTGTGTGTGTTGGGCGAAGGGGCAGTGGGTACACCCACTCAATTCTGCTGTGAACCTGAAACTGCTCTAAAAAGAGATAAACAAACAAAAATTAAAGGTAAAAAAAAAAAAAACGTAGTAGGGAGCTTGGGCCTGTACCCAATAAAACACATTATCTTTTTGCCATTTTTTTTTGTCTGTTTTGCCAAAGAAAATAAAAACTTAAAAAAAAATTATTTGTATTTTAAAAATGTTTTGAGAGACAGGGTCTTTCTTGGTTGCCCAGGCTGGAGAGCAGTGGCTATTCACAGGCACGGTGAAGCCTGCTGAGTGGCCTCCGACTCCCAGGCTCAGCGATCCTCCCTCCTCAGCCTCCTGAATAGCTGGGACTGGAGGCGTGAGCCACCGCACCTGGGTAAAACTTATTTTTTAAACTGTTACTGGACTTCACCAGGGTAAATGTGTCGGGTGTCACTTACTCGCAGCTTTCGACTTTGTTTCCGAACGAGCTTGCCGTGCTGAATGAAATGAACAGGACACTGGTTCATGGCATTGTCCGCTTTATGTCGAAGCCAGTCTTCATAACCCTAAAAAAAGGACGCAAAGAAGGGAGAGAGGAAGCAGAGACAGAGGGAAGGAGGAGAAAGGGAGGAGAGACAGAAGGCTTGCGTTTAATTATGTCTAAGCATAATCCAAGTCTGTGGGGGTGTATTTTTTCAAAATCAGGATGCATTACACACACTATTCTTTGTATCCTCAACAGAGCATTGGCATATTCCCATGGCAATGCGAGCTGCTTTAAATGTCTGCAGTTGTAGAAGTGCAAAGACGTTGGATAAAGATGCCCATCGAAGTCTGTATAAGTACTATATAACCGTACTTTTTGTGCCTATTCATGACATGGCCTTAGGATAAATTCCTAAAAAAGTAGTGTCTGAATGAAATGACGAGCAAGCCTTCCAGTTTCTTCACATCCACACCGAAAAGCCCTCAAGACTCCAGTGGGGCCAGGCACATTTCCACCCGCTGAGTGTCAATCTTCTGCTTGGAAAAGCCCTCACTGGCCATTCTTCTCTTTCATTAAAAACTGACTGTTACGAGATCTGGCAGCCCAGACTCTCGGTGAACCGCCGGCTCACTCTGCGACACCTGCAGCAGCCTTAGGGTTCTCCGTGCATTTCTGCGTCTGGGTAACCCACGTGGGAAACATCGCATCGTGACTCCTGTGCACGCGCAAGCATCCTGCTGGAAAAGCAGCCCGAGCTAACCCTGACCCCCGCCGCGCTGCCAGATCTGCATGCCTTTGACAGGCGCAGACACCTGCACTCCAATTCCAACTACCAAGGCACACCCTCTGCTTGGACAGTCAGGTGGTATCTTGAAAGCAGCAACAATAGGAGATGCAGCATGCAGACAATTCCTGGGATGACGAACATGCCTTTGTGTTTGGCGTTGCCGGATGCAGGTGCCTTAGATAAGGATGGAGAATGCCATCCTCAGTAACAACCCCCAGCATGTGAGAGACTGCACACCAGGGGCCTACAGGCGTCCAACGCATCTAATGAGGGCCACGACTGGGAACACAGCTCTGCCACACACAACACACAACCAGGCGGGATGGCAGCACGAAGCCTGTGCCACGGGCTCACTGCACGTACGCTGAGACACACAACCATGCAGGATGGCGGCAGGAAGCCTATGCCAAGGGCCCGCTGCACGTATGTTGAGAGAGCCTGTGGGGCAGGAGGCTCACTGGGGGCCTCCTCCCTATGGGCCATGTGGCGGCATCAGTGGCCCTGTGACTGGAGTCTTTTCCAAAGGGAACATTAACAAGGAACCCAAAACCTCCAGCTTCTGGAGAATTAAGAAGCCTGGGACGCATGGATATCCAAACATGCAGAGCTTTCTCCAGCCGTGACCACTAGTGTGACACTGTGGCATCTGATTGCTTTTCAGAGATTTCTCCCAAATCGCTGAAATACTCTTTCTGGGGAAATTGAAGAACAGTCTTCCTGGAAGGTGGCAGTGGGTAGGTGATTCCTGGGTTCATTAAACACACTTATTTAGCACCAACTGCATGCTCAGTAAGTGCCAGGCACCAGGGTCCCACAGACAAAAGACCTTGTCCCCAGCACTGCTGTTCTCAGGATCGGTGGGGAAGAAACAGAAGTAACTGCAAGTTCAATGCAGGTGAGAGACACCCAGCACCCCCGAGAAGCCCAGTGCCCAGGCTGCGGAAAGACACCAAAGAGGAGGTTGCCCAGGAATGCCCAGTGGTGAGGGAACCCCCAGGGGCTGGCACTGCCCACTGGCCAGCCTGGCTGGAACCAGAGGGACACGTGAAGGCGCATGCATGTGACCGGCTGATCGGAGGGGCCCTGCACACAGCAGGGGTGGCTGGGTGACACAGGGAAAGGCTGCTCTAGCAGGACCTGGGCGATGGCAGTGGCAGAGCCAGGTGCAGTGAGATGCCCGTCAGTGCCCAGGTGAGACACCGGGGAGATGGTGTGAAAAGAGAGGTGGGAACCTAAGAGAAAATCAGGGAGGCCTCTGTGAGTGCAGGGGGCTTTCTAAGGCAAGCGAGGAGGGGCCGGGAGCGTGGGGACCCCAGCACAAACGTCCCTGCTGGAGCCAGCGTGTGGGAGGCTGTTTGGGAAAGTCGCGGCTGCGGACAGAGATGCCGTTCCTGAGGAAGAGGGACAAGGAGGTCAGTAGTGGGGGAAGGCCGAGGGGGCGGGGACACTCTGGCACACACAGGTCCAGACCAGCAGTGGGGGAAGCGAGGTCATCCCCAGAGTGAAGGCTGGGTAGCAAGACACACGGGAGAGAAAGAGACCCCTCCGGCCAGGGGCAGGGGTGCTGGTGATGGGGCCCAGACCTGCAACTCTGTTCATTCACCATCTTGCCCTGACCCCTCTTAACACCCCCAACAACACCCGCCCACTGCCCTGGGATGGGAGGGGACATAGCCAGGGAAGGGATACAGCCAGGCCGATGAGAGGGGACACAGCCAGGGAGGGGACGCAGCCGGGCCGAGGACACCGCATGTTGTCTGGGGCCATGGTCTGCACAGTGTAGAGAAGCGGCCTCTGCATCCACGGGGGCTCAGGCTCCCCAGCTGCTGCCTCCCTGGCCCAGATGCATCTTCAGAGCCGCCCTCCCTACTCCACGCTCTCCTCTCCTCTCCTCTCCTCTCCCCTCCTCCAGGACGCTCCTGGAGTCCTCAGGAGTTTCCTGCTCAGTGGGGTCCCAGGAGGGATGGAATCTTTAACAAATGCAGAGCAGAGGACGCTGAAGAACAGTGCTGTGCCTGCCTCCCGGGGCCGGGGCCGGGCTGGAAAGGACAGAGCCACAGAGCCTCAGCCCCTTCTCTCTGCTCCCCTCGAGGGGCTCAGGGGTCTCCTTCCCGTTTGCAGCCTCTGCTCCTACCACACATATGTGTCACAGACAGCATGGGACGCCCTCACCTAATCTCCAAGATGGGTTCCTGGAAACTGCGACTTTAGGCCCGAGTAACATCATTTCCTTCAGCACCATTTCCTTGTGAAGTTGATCAGAAAACCTGTCCTCTTGCTTAAAGTCGAAGTGTGCAAGAGCCACCAACACGAAGTGAGGCCTTATCCCAGGTAGGGGCTAAACTGCCTGAGTCATGGGCAGCGAGTCCTTGGGAAGCGAGAGTTTCCCTCATATTGTTTTCCAGGCAGCGCAGTTCGTCTTGGCTACTGTGCTGTGTCCTGCCCTGCCCCGCAGAGGAGCTGCCCATTTCCTTACGGGGGACCCTGGGCTGCCCGAGTCCTCTGCTAACCAATGACGGCCACCATGAACATCCCAGTCCATGTATCCCGGTAGGCACGGCCGGCTCTGGCCTAGTGAAGACACATAGGCCCCATGTACTGACTACACAGCTGCATGTTTATCATCTGCACCGGCCCCTGTGTGTCCACATCTCTGCCTGTGTCAGATGTTGCCACCTGCTGTGCTCCGCCACGCTCCTGCCGGGTGCCTGTGGTGCCTGCCTCGCCACGCCCTCTCCAGACTTGCACATCTGAAAGCCGATCTGGTGGGTGTGAAACACAAATGTGCTCAGCAGCATGATTCAGAGCAGCCAAAAAGCGGAAACACCCCAAATGTCCATTCACAGAGGAAGCCATACACACACTGTGGGGTGTGCGCAGCGGACCGTGACTCATTCATCAGATGGAATGAAGCGCTGACGCCTGCTCAGATGCGGAGAAACGTTGAAAACATCGTCTAAGTGACAGAGCGAGTCACAAAACACCGCACATGAGCTGTGAGCATGAAATGTTTAGAACGGGCAACTCTACGGTGACAGAAACGTGTCTCCGCCAGGGACGGGGAGGAGAAAATGGGGAGTGACTGAACATGTGCTCGGGGAATCTGGGGGTGATAAAATGGATACATGGAGAGAAAAACTGAGATGTATTCTTCTCCATGTTAGTCACTGGCTTTATTTACCAGGGCTATGAAGGAAAAACAAACAAACAAACCAACAAGAAACACCACCCCATGTGCCGGAGTCCATAAACATCATGTTCTGAGGCGGTCAAGACAGTCAAGCATGCGGAAAGGTTAAGTGACTCATCTGAATCAGATCATCCCTGGGTGATCTGGGATGTGAAAATCATAGATTTCTTCTCAAATTCACATGGTGACAGAATAGCAACAAAATGACATAACACCTCTTATTTTGCTTCAAGTATCAACACAGTTATAAAAATGAATTTCTAGAACTTGGTTGAATTTTCCATGAACTAGCTGAAACAAACCAATTACCTTGCTTTGAATAAAAGGCAATTCGCATGGCAAAGATGGCGACTTGCTTCTTTTTCGTCTGTAAAATGCTTACCTGTTTGATAGCCGTGACAGTAATGACGAAGAAGAGTGGAAGTCCACTTGTCACTGGACTTGTGGGTGTATCAATAATCAACTGCAGAAAGACAGAATTGTAAAATCATCTTCAAAAATGCAAATGACTGACTTTAGGCAGGTTAGTTTGCCCTGAGCCAGCACTTCCCATTCGCTTTGCCTTATTTAAACCCTTTGCTGGCACCTGACTCTGCCCACCACGGGAGACAGCAAGTCAGTCATCCTATTTCACTGACTGCCAAAATGAGGGTACCTTTTTTAAATTAAGGAACATGCTCAAGGAAACCACGGGGAGTGGCAGACACAGTCTGAAGTCAGGGCACGCCTTGTGTTAATTCATCCCTCGGCTTCAGTGTTACATTTTAATTACATGATTTGAATACTGTTGGAAAAATTTTAAAAGTCCTTCAATAGCATTTTGTAGGATTTAGAAAAATTAGAGGGCTGTTCTTAAAACACACCTGGCACACTGCTCCCTAACTCATACCCCAAGACATTTTTTCCCTCTTTTTTCTTTAAACTCTCTTTCCATGTGCACTGTCTTTGGATTTTCTTTTTCTTTTCTTTTCTTTTCTTTTCTTTTTTTTTTTTTTTTTTTGAGACAGAGTCTTGCTCTGTCTCCAGGCTGGAACGTAGAGGCACGATCTCGGCTCACTGCAACCTCCCACTCCTAGGTCCAAGTGATTCTCCTACCTCAGTCTCCCGAAGATCTGGGACTACAGGCGCGCGCCACCACGCCCAGCTAATTTTTGTATTTTTAGTAGAGATGGGGTTTCGCCATGTTGGTCAGGATGGTCCCTATCTCTTGACCTCGTGATCCTCCCTGAGTGCTGGGATTACAGGTGTGAGCCACTGCGCCTGGCCTGGATTTTCTTTAGAACATCCACACACATTTATGAAGAGTAAAGTAAGTGGAACAATGCATAGCTTGGCTGTGAACTTGTCCAAAAGATAACAAAGCTCTGACTTCCCCTCTGGTACTAGAAGGAAAGCGGCAGGAAAGGCAGTCACCAACTTAAACCCAAAGTGGCGTTGTGTGTGCTAATTTAGCTTGTGTGGATCTCACAGAACCAACACGTTTTGTCCTTCCTTAAGAAAATAAATAAATGAATCTTAGGTGAGGGGCACCACGCCCTTGCGCTTTCATTAGCCGTGTGGCAGTTACCTGAGAATAAAATGTCACTTATTTAGATTTATATTTGATGAGATGGAAAACAATGACCGGCCTTACCTGCACCAGAAATATGATAAGGAAATAAAAGTTGGCTACTCTTCTGAATTGTTCAAATAAATTCTTGGGTATAAAGTTCCAAAATGTGTACTGCATAAAAGAAAAACAAACATCCATCATTTAGATCAGATTTTACTCTTATAGTGTTACTCTAGGCATAGTAAGTAGCACTGGATTTTACAGTACAAAATGTTTAGCTTTAGATATAAAACTCGTAATTCATAATTTAGAGTGTTTGTTGACAGCTAAGACAGCTGAAACAAAGTGTGTACTCTGAAACACGTATGTAAATACCTAACTCCAGAGAATTCAAGATAAAATGCAAGGTAGCTCAACAACAGTTTGATTATTGAGATGTCTTTTATAAAATGTAAACCTGTGATCATTAACTCAACACATTAGCATTTTACTTCAGTAATTTCTGCATGATCTCTCCTCTGAGTGACAGCATGACGGGTGATGACAGCGAGCTGAATGGAAGCCTTCACCCAGCTCCAGGTGGCTTCTGAGGCAGAGGTGTTTCTTGTCCACAGCCCAGGCACAAGGGCTTTGAGGCCTCAGGGGGAAGGAGAGGAAAAGGAAGCGAAGGAGGGCAGGGAGGGGATGTCGGGGAAGTGAAGTGAAGGAGGGAAGGAGGGGAAGGAGGGAAGGAGGGGAAGAAAGGAGGAAAAGGAGGGTAAGGAGGGCAGGGGGGGAAGGAGGGAAGGAGGGGAAAGAGGAGAAGGAAGGAGGAAAAGGAGGAGGGGGAAGAAGGAAGAAAGGAGGGGAAGGAGAGGGGAAGAAGGAGGGAAGGAAGAAGAGGAAAGGAAGGGAAGAAGGAGGGCAGGGAGGAAGAGGAGGAGGTAGGAGGGCAGGGAGGAGGGAGGAAGAGAAAGGAGGGAAGGAGGGAAGGAGGAGGAGAGGAGGGAAGGAGGAAGGAGGAGAGAGGGAGGAAGGAGGGGAAAGGGGAAAGGAGAAGGAAGGAGGAGAAGGAGGAAAGGAAGGAGGAAAGGAGGGGAAGGGGAGAGGAAGGAGGGGAAGGAAGAAGGAAAAGGAAGGAAGGAGGGCAGGGAGGGGAGGGAAGAGGAAGGAGGGGAAGGAGGGGGCAGGGAGGAGGAAGGGGAAGGAGGGGAAGGAGGGCAGGGGGGAGGGAGGGACTAGGAGGGAAGGAGGAGGGAAGGGGAAGGAGGAGAGGAAGGAGGAATGCCCAGTCACCACAGTCTCTCCTCTCCACCGCCTTCTCATTGCCTCTGTAGCAGTTTCATTCAACTTCTGTGTTGAAAACAATGTCCCAGATGTCACAAACCTTCACTGAGTTTGGAAATAGTTTCTAATTTGTCTGACATATTTTTTTATACCATAATGAAGACAGAGGAGGGGAAGGAGAGGAAGGAGGGGAAGGAAGAAGGAAAAGGAAGGAAGGAGGGCAGGGAGGGGAGGGAAGGGAAGGAGGGGAAGGAGGGCAGGGAGGAGAGGAAGGGGAAGGAGGGGAAGGAGGGCAGGGAGGGGAGGGAGGGGGAGGAGGGAAGGAGGGGAAGGAGGGGAAGGAGAGGAAGGAGGGGGAATGCCCAGTCACCACAGTCTCTCCTCTCCACACTTCTCATTTTGCCTCTGTAGCAGTTTCATTCAACTTCTGTGTTGAAAACAATGTCCCAGATGTCACAAACCTTCACTGAGTTTGGAAATAGTTTCTAAAATTTCATCTGACATGTTTTTATGCCATAATGAAGACAGTCTACCGAAACCTGAGGGAAGTCTCCCAGCCTGCGCTGTGGCCCCTGCCGTCTGTGTCTCTTCAACGGTGCTTACTTCAAAACCCCATTCCCAGGTGGGTTCTGGCTCCGGGAAGCCAGAAGTAGTTGTCAAATTCTCACACCAAGAACTTCTTGAATTCCAGGCTCATGAACATAAGTTATTTGCAATTCAATGTAACAACTAAAGCCTGGTATGGTCCTGAACTAACTAACATATTCTGAATTTGCTGTTTATAAATATTTCAGAGGAAATCCACGTGTCTTTTAAAACTTCTCTGCCTCAAGTTTCCGTGACTTAGAGAGTATATAAGGAATTTCCATTTTCTACTCTAATTCACATTTACAAAGTGATTTTATCTTTCATAACAAAGTTCCTTAATGAGGGTAAAAACCGAGTAGTGGTTCCCCCAAGTTCATGACAACTATGGCCGTATTTTCAGTTCCCTTCTCAGGTTGACTGTAATGAAAAGGGCAAGGGGTGCTCCAGGAGAGTCTCTAGTGTTTTAAAAAAGAAACTAACTTTCCAGGTCCTCCCTAGCTCATCCTGCCCTACCCATCCAAACACCCTTATTTTCCATGTGTTGCTTGATGCCAGGTTTTTATCAGATATGTGTTTTGCAAATCTCTTCTCCCAGTCAGTGGCTCATATTTTAATTCTCTTAACTGTATTTTGCAAAGCATAAGTTTTTAATCTTCATAAAGTCCAACTTACCAATTTTCCTTTCATGAAGAGTGTTTCTGGTGTTATATCCAAAAATTTGTTGCCAAACCCAAGGTCACCTAGACTTTCTCCTACATTTCTATGAGTTTCATTGTTATACATTTTACATTTAGGTCTATGACTCATTTTGAGTTAATTTTCTTGAACTGTGTATGATCACCGTCTATAGTCACAGTTGCTGTTTTTTTTTTTTTTTTCATGTCATTTTTCTAGAACTATCTGTTGAAAAGAAATAGTGCTTTTCTGTCTGCCCTGAATTGCCTTTGCTCCTCTGTCAAAGATGGGTTGACTCTCTGGGTGGACAGGCTGACTCTCTGGGTGGATGGGTTGACTATCTGGGTGGACGGGTTGACTATCTGGGTGGATTTACTAGGTAGGTCAACTCCCAGGCTCTCTATGATGTTTCATTGATCTATTTGTCTATTCTTACAGCAACACCACACTGTCTGGATTACTACAGTTTTACAGTAAGTCCTAAAGTTGGCTAGTGTCAGTTCTCCAACTTGGTTCTTCAATACTGCGAGGCTATTCTGGGTCTTTTGCCTTTCCACATAAATGTAGAATCAGTTTGTTGGTAGCTACAAAGTAACTTGCTGGGAATTTGATTAGGATTGTATTGAATCTACAGGTCAAAGTGGGAAGAACTGACATCTAAAAAACATGGAGTTTTCCCCTCCATGAAGATGGAACATCTCTCCATTGACTTAAATCTTCTTTGATTTCACTACAGTTTTGTCGTTTTCCTTACCTAGACCCTGTACGTATCCTGTTAGATTTACACCTATGTAATTTGGCGGGTGGGGGATAAATGTAAATAGTGTTGAGTTTTAAATTTCAAATTCCAACTATTCATTGCTGGTGTATACGAAAGTGACTAATTTTTGAATCCTGCAACCATGCTATAATCGCCTCTAACATCCAGAAGTTTTCTTGTTATTGTTGGTTCTCTGGGATTTTCTGCATGGGCAATCATATCACTTGTGAACAAAGATAGTCTTATTCCTTCCTTCCCAATCTGTACGCCTTTAATTCCCATTTCTACTCTTACTGTATTAGCTAGGATTTCCAGTACAATGCTGAATAGGAACAGTGATGAGGGATTCCTTGCCATTTTTCCAGTCTAGGGTGAAATCATCTAGTTTTTCACCATTAAATATGATGTTAGCTACAGGACATTTTGTAGATGCTCTTTACGAAGCTGAGGAAATTCCCCTCTGTTCTTAGTTTGCTGCAATACGTCAGCGGGTACTGAACTTTGTCAAATTATTTTACTGCACCTATTGAAAAAATCATGTAAGTTTTCTTTTTTAGCCTGTAAATATTATGGGCTATATTAGTCGATTTTCAAATGTTGGATTAGCCTTGCATACCTAGGATAAACCCACTTGGTCATGATGAGGAAAGAGAGAGACCCTCTCATAGTGTTTCATATTGTTTTATACTCAGTACCTGTTTTAAGAAAAAAACAAGGAAGGAAAACCAAAGACTGGCAGCCCAGCGCCAGGCCTGAAACCAGGCCTGGGCCTGCCTGGCCTAAACCCAGTAGTTAAAAATCAACTCATGACTTAGAAATCGATGTTATTCATAGATTCCAGACATTGTATAGAAGAACACTGTGAAACTCCCTGCCCTGTTCTGTTTCACTCTGACCACTGGTGCATGCCGCCCCTGTCACGTACCCCCTGCTTGCTCACATCAATCGCGACCCTTGCATGTGAAATCTTTAGTGTTATGAGCCCTTAAAAGGGACAGAAGCCGTGCGTGGTGGCTCAAGCCTGTAATCCCAGCACTTTGGGAAGCCGAGATGGGCAGATCACGAGGTCAGGAGATCGAGACCATCCTGGCTAACACGGTGAAACCCTGTCTCTACTAAAAAATATCAAAAATTAGCCCGGCGAGGTGGCGGGCGCCTGTAGTCCCAGCTACTCTGGAGGCTGAGGCAGGAGAATGGCGGGAACCCGGGAGGCGGAGCTTGCAGTGAGCTGAGATCTGGCCGCTGCACTCCAGCGAGACTCTGTACCAAAAAAAAGGGACAGAAGTTGTGCACTCGGGGAGCTCGGATTTTAAGGCAGTAGCTTGCCGATGCTCCCAGCTGAATAAAGCCCTTCCTTCTACAACTCAGTGTCTGAGAGGTTGTGTCTGTGGCTCGCCCTGCTACAAGGGTGTATAGTTCTTTTTATACATTGTTGAATTCGATTTGCTAATATTTTATCGAGAATCGCTGCTTCTATGTTCATGAGAAATACTGGTCTGTGATATCGTCTTTCCGGTAATATCTTTTTCTGGTTTTGGTTTTAGGGTAACGCTGGCCTCATAGAATGAATTAGAAAGTGTTCCTTCTGCTTCTATTACCTGGAAGATATTGTAGAAAATTGATTTTTTTTTTTCCCTGAAATGTTTGATAGAATTCACCAGTGAAAACATCTGAGCCTTGTGCTTTCCGTTTTGGAAGATTATTAATTATTTATTCCATTTCTTTAATTGATGTAGGCCCACCCAGATTTTCTTTCTCCTTGTTTGAGTTTTGGTAGACAGTGTTTTTCAAGAAACTGGTCAATTTTATGTAAGTTATCAAGTTTATGGGTGTAGGGCTGTTCATAATATTCCTTTTAATCTTTTTATTAGCTATGTCACCC